CCCCCCCCCCCGCAATCGTTATTCCCCCCGGAACTTTTCGGCTTAACGTCGGGGCGGCGCCCCCGGCCCCTCCCGGCAAGAGCGCTCGCCCGTCCGCGGCGAGGAGGCGGTGCCTGCGCGCCGAATGGCGTGCGCCCTGGCGAATGGCAGCCCATAAAAAGCGGGCCGGGAGGCGGCCCCGCTGGTTCCGCGGGCGGCGGGCACAGGCAGCGCGTCCGCGATCTCGCCCGGCGGTAGGCGCCTTCGCTCCGGCACCGTGCGCAGGTACGGGGGGCGCGGGGCGCGCGCGTCTTCGCCCCGCGGGGGCTCCTCGCGCGCCCGGCCCGGTGGGGCGCGGGCGAGGGAGGCTCCCGGGAGACACGCCCCGAGGCGGGAGGGCGCTGCTCGGGCGCGGAAGGTCCCCGTTCTCGAGGCAGGAACCGAGGCGGAAGCGGGGTAAGGGGCTCTTCCCGGGGTGGAGGAGGAGGAGGAGGAGGAGGAGAGGGGAAGCCGCAGCCCGGAGCGCTGAGCCGCCTTCGGGATGCCCCGTCCGGTCACGCCCGCCCCGTAGCCTCCCTCCACGCCCGGACTGAGCGGGGGCCGCGGTGAAGGTACGGGTTCCTCAGACGTGGCCCGGATCCTCCAAAGCGGAACTCCCCTTCCCTGCCTGCGTCCCACTCTCCCCTTCACACGTGCGGCGTAAACGGCCCGTGCACTCCCCGGGCCGCCATCCAAGCGGGGCCGCCTCCACCGGAGGGCAGGAATTGCGGTTTTCTCCGTGAAAACGGCCCGTCTTCTGCTGTCCAGATTCCAGGCAGGAGTTTTTCCAGCCCTCCCGGCAGATGCTGCGGATCGAACCCGCACCTTCTGCGTGCAAAGCGGGGTTTTGCCCCTTAGCCGTGCCCCTCCCTCCAGCCTGTTTCTGATCTGACCTCCCCCAACCTGGTGCCCCCTGGGAGTTTGGATTGCAGTTCCTCTTAGCTCCAGAGAACCGCGCTAAAAATACCTGGGGGTACCACCCCAGTTGGAGAACTATGCTCTGACCCATAGGCCGGTTGAACTGGATTGGGCCGCAGTCCTGTGCATGCCTGCCCCCCCCACCCCCATCTAGCACTGCTGGTTGCAGAATGCTGGGGACTCTAATACCTTTGCCGTCTAAATAGGCGAGGGTTGCACCTTTGCAGAATTGCAGTTCTGAGTTCTGCAAGTTTTGGCATTCCCTGCATCCGAACCTCCACTGTTCTGGCCCTCAAGTCGCTTCACAGAGTCCAAGCACGGAATTTATTTCCACAAGATACGCATTAAAAGCTTGGCAGAAAACGTCACCGGGAGAAACCGCGGCTGCTTATCCTGATGGCACCACGCTGCCTCAAGTACCAGGTCCAGTTATGCCATACACACCGCTGCTGGGGAGCATGGGCCAGTGGGTGCTGTATACTGCTGTCCCGCTTGTGGGTTTCATATGCTTGGCCACCGCCTTGTCCAGCCAGCGGGGCTGCCCTTTGGATGCATTTTCAGAGCCCTGCGCTCGGGTTTTGCTGTGCTGGTGTCCAAACCGTTTGCTGCAACCAGCATGTGGTTTTGACACCCTCTGTGCTTCCGCTTTCTGTCTCGGGAGCGCTCAGCATCAAAGCAGCCAGTGGCTCCGGATGGAGTCTGGCTCCTGTGCCACGGGAGCGGCTCTCCCGTGGCATTTATGGGCAGGCCACGACTCCGTGGTCGGGCTCCTGTTCTGTCCGCGAGAGGCCGCAGCGCTGCAGGGAGGGCACAACATGCTCCGGTTGAATCTCTGGTGAGGTGTGGCTGCCAGCCAGTGCCAACAGCACCGGGCTTGCAATCCAAGGGCTTGGCTTCTGTTAGCCCCCCTCCCACTGTGGATGCTGCCACTAGGCCAGGAAGAAAGGGGGGGCATGTTCCAGCCCACAGGAACATGGGCGCAAGCTTTTCTCAGAGTGTCAGCTGAGCTCAGTTGGGTGCAGAAAAGCACCCGGAATTAGGATCATTTTCTCCCCACCCCGTGTCTGGATTAGAGAGAAGGGGTAGAATTCCCCGCGTCTCTCTGGGGAAGGGGCTGGTCTAGCACCTTTCTGCCTGGCACCCTCATTTTCTCCACACAGAGGTCAAGTGCCTGGATAAGGGCTTTCCGCTCTGCCAACTCCTGCTTGAGGTGGCGACAGCCCCAGCCTGGGAGAGGTGGTTTCGCTGGGAGCCCTGCCCCGAGCTGGGGGGCTTGCCCCGGTGGCCCTGGGGAGCCGTCCGGCTCTGCTCTTCCGTGCCTCGAAGCCTGGGCTTCCGCTGCCCTTTCGCAAGCCCAGCCCTGTGAGGAAGGCCCCTGACTTGGCCATGTTCCAGCCCCGTGCCTTTTGCAACGGGCTGCGCCATTCAGCTGCCCCCTGTTTCTTCGAGGATCTTGATGTAACACACATCCCCCCGTCTGCACGGAAGGCTGCGTGAAGCGGGGCCCTGCCCGTCCCCTGCCCTTGTGTCCGGGCGGGCAGGCAGACCACATCGCTGGGCCTCCCCCCGGACAGAGGCTGGGCCTTGGCCTGCCCCCTGGGTGCCCCGTCTCTTTGGAGAGGCTCCTCCCTTCGGCCCCAGGGAGGGCGGGAGGGCGGGCAGGGCCAGCTGGCCCAGAGGTCAGTGCCTTCCCTGCCGCTCTCCTGGCGACGGAGCGGAGCGCGCCTGAGGCCCCTGTGCCGCCTCTCCAGCCCGCAGACTCGCAGCCATGTCCCGGCCTCTGACCGACCAGGAGAAGCGGAAGCAGATCAGCATCCGGGGCATCGTCGGCGTGGAGAACGTGGCTGAGCTGAAGAAGGGCTTCAACCGGCACCTGCACTTCACGCTGGTCAAGGACCGCAATGTGGCCACCCCCCGCGACTACTACTTCGCCCTGGCGCACACGGTGCGCGACCACCTGGTGGGCAGGTGGATCCGGACTCAGCAGTACTACTATGAGAAGGACCCCAAGGTGAGGGGGGCAGGGGGCGAAGGGGTGGGAAGCAGCAGTGAGTTTTCTTTTGGACCTCCTGGGTAAATTGTGGAATGTCACAGAGCTCTTGCTCAGTATGATGCAGAACTCTGTGGGACTCTGAAGGTTCCGTGCTTGGTGCATTTTCTATGAATGACTGTGTGTGTGTTCTGTTCTTTGGGATTTGGCATTTCCCTGAGTTTGGAGGAAAACATGTTGGGAACAGAAGTACTTGTGAGAATTTGTAAGACAGACCAGACTGCTCCATCCCGGCCTATTCCAGGCTCACCAGGCTCCCAAACCCTAATCCTTTTGTTCTCCAGTTTGGGGATGGTGGAGTCTGAAACCTGACACATCCAGATGGGTTAAAGGAACAGCCTTGGTGACTGGGATAATGGGATGTGTAGTCCAATACATCTGAGGTGTGCCAGGTTGAAAAAAGGCTGTTCCAGGTGGTTGGGAAATACAGGCAGTTCTTTTACTTCCCAAGTCCTTGTAACACACGAACTGGATACTGAGGGAGGCTGACTGGTGGACAACCCAGGCAGACCATTAGCAGGTTCTTTCTACCCTTGTTAGATCTATGGTCACGTCTTCCCAGCCGTAATATGTTGTGCCACTGAGTCGCATGTGGCTGCCTCCTCTCCCTCTTGGTTCCCTCATTCCATCTTCACAAGGATTTGCTCAGCCTGGGCAAGCCTCGTGGTTGGCTGCTGCCTCACCCTCGCACGAGGGTGTTGCAGGTTTGCTGTAGCCCCACAAGCGGCGGGAAGACGCGACTTGGGAAGGAAGGCAGTGGCGGGGTGCTTGCTGTCATGTGCCCGGCACGTTGCAGAGGGCCTGCCATGGGCCTCGCCCCCAAATAGCCGCTCTCTTCCTGACCCCTCTCTCTGCAGAGAGAGAGACATCACTCACCCTTCCCAAGCACCCACTTCCCAGGAGCAGATTTCCAAGGGAGAGGTTAGAGGATGCAGAGGAAACGGGTGGGCGGAAAGCCCCCGTTACAGATGCATCCACCGGGGTGTGACCTCCGGGCCCCAGCAGGAATCTGGCGATCACATCCTGGACCAACAGTCTCGATCGATCCCCTGTAAAGCACATGGTGGCCGTCCACTCTGGAGGCACAGACGACCCGATCGCTGCCATCTTGATCCGATGAAGAGCATTTGAGCAGGAAAAAAAGTGTGGGTTAAAACGGCCAGGCCTCTGCGGGGCCCTTCCCTGCTTTGGTGCCCTCCAAGCCTCTTGGACGACGGCTCCCTTCCATGTCGATGGGCCATCGGCCGGGGCGGTAGGAACTGTGGCAGCTCCCATTGGCAGAGCCTGATTTAAAGCACTTACTCAGACAGGTGCGTGTGTTCTCTCCAAGGCCTTGTACAGACCCAGGCCATGGGGAAATATGCAGGGTTCTCTGCAGTCCCCCATTTTGTATTTTTGTATTTAATGGTAATTTATTATGTTCTATTGTATTTCAATGTATTTTATTGTGTTGTAAGCCGCCCCGAGGCTTCGGCAAGGGGCGGCATAGAAATGTTATAATAATAATAATAATAATTATTATTATTATTATTATTATTATTATTATTATAATGCTCATCCCCAACACCGCAAGCTTTATCTGTGTGATTCATTTGTTAAATGCCTTTGTATGCTGTTCCATCAGCCGAAGGCCCACTCACCCGGGGGTTCATGCACAGCGTGAGGCTGTGCCCCTGCTCCGTACGCCGAAGGACTGGGTTCAAGTCCTGACACCTCCGGTTTTAAAAAGGGCCTTGCATAACGAGGCTGCAAGGCTTTCCTTCCCCGCAGTGCCGGGCGAGCCAGGACGGTGGGAGAATGAAGCTGACACAAAATAGCTGATCCAGGTCTCCTGGAATTGGATTGACTTAATGATCCCTGCAGCCCTTTAATTTATTTATTTTTCTGTTAATGGAGCTTTAGTCTGGAAGATTAAGGAATAATCTCATTTGTGACATTAGTTGGAAGCCCGTTTCGAAGGGAGGGCTGCCAGGCTTCCTGCTGAGGGCTTCACCCCTAATTTGGCTTCCCTCAAACTTCATCTTGGAATTAAGAATTAATTGTTTCTGAACATCTCTAGTGTCAGGTGCTATTTCCCCCAGTGCTAAGAAAACTCCCAGGTTTTGCCTCTGTAGGTGAAACTATGCAGCAGTTGGAGAGCTGGGCCGGGGTCTCTCAGCGTAACCTACCTCCCAGGGTTGTTATAAGGCTAAGACAGAGAGGAACAGGAGAATTATATAAACTATTCTGGGCTCTTCATTAGAGGGGAAAAAGGTGGGAAATAAATATAATGACTAATGAATGAATGAACATATCAATGAATACATGAATAATAAATGAATCAATATATCAATCAAATAAAACACATTAATGAAAATTGCACAGATCTGCCTGGTGGAGTTGGGGAAGTGAATTTTTAATGGGCTCTATTTAGTGAATGCATGCACACACATAATATTTACAGAATTTCCTTCTGGCTTTTAGTCTTAATGATTTCTAAATCTGCATGGTAATTCTTTTCTCTAAGCTGTGTTTGATTACAGTGATATTTCTCGTTGAAGAATACTCAGTTGAGAGAATAAGGGTGGGAAACAGGCACCAGACTAGTTGGTTTGCTTACTGCAGCTTTTTGCATAATGTTTTTTCTATTTTTACAAGGTGAGAAGTGACACCTCCCCACCCCCTCCGAATTCTTTACCAGATTGCTCTGTTGAGCTTCTGGAGTGGTGGGTTTTGCATTAGATATATTTTTCCCTTGGATATGTTAAACCTGGACTCATCGGGAGCATTTTTAAATATTTGCTTTACTTACTGCTATTCAAGCAGAGCAAATAAACATTCCTGCAGGACATAGTGGAACTGTGGGTCCTGCCTCGGGACAGATGCATTTATAAACCCATTTTCTGCAATTTATCTTGATTTATATTATAATTATTTTAACTTATTGTTGTAAGCCGCCCCGAGGCTTCGGCGAATGGGGCGGCATAAAATGTTTTAATAAATAAATAAAATAAAATAAATTACTGTGCTGGAAAGTGGGTTGGTAGCAGGCAGAAACAAAGCAGAGTTTCATGATCGCGTCGCCCACCCCACAAGCCTCCAGGTGCCCCAGCTGCAATGATATATTGTTTTTATATAGTTATTATTTATTTGTTGTTGTGAGCCGCCCCAAGGCTTCGGCGAATGGGGCGGCCCAGAAGCTCTCTAAATAAATAAATGATAATAAATAGCTCCAGCCCCAAACGATTCTCTGCCTTGTGACTCCAGATGTGCTGGACTACTATTCCCAGTATCCACTGGCAGTGAGAGGCATCTTCTTCTTAAGGCTAGATGTTCGGGCCATTAAAAAAAACCTGCCAAGTGACGAAGGGGTCTTTAATAGACTCTTTGTGCAATAGACTCTTTCTCATTCACACCCACTGGGCTCCCAAAATCCCCACGACGGGTTCCTGCAGCTTGACGTTTGGCTCAGGATTAGGTTGATGCTTGTTGGGCTAACAAAACTATTTCTCCAGAACTGAAGAAAGTCGGGAAGGGGAGGCGGTTCCAGGAAAGCCGAGTGTGTGGCTGGCACAGAAGGAAGTGCGTTTGGCTTTTGGTAGCTCAGCCGTGGCTCGTGAAAGCGTCTAGGCCAATGTGAGTGGGCTTCAGGCTCTGCAAATAGCTGGCCGTGTAGCTAAGCAGTGGTGGGTGGTGTTGTTTCTGCACGCCTTCCAGGCCAGTCCAGGGTCCACATGTCTGAGGAGCAATCCCAGCAAGTGCTTGGGGGTCGGCTAGAGATTCCCCAGTGCATAATGGGAGCATCCCAGACCGCTCAGGCCATCCGTCTCTCGCACCCGGCGCTGTCTCATGCAGCCGTCTCCATCCTGGTAGATTCCAAATGTGCTGGATGAGAAGCCGCATGCCAGCTGGAGGATGCTGGGCCTTGTAGTCTCACACATCTGGAGGAGGTGACGTGCAAGGCGTTCTACCAGCCACGCCACCTCTCTGGATGGGAGAAGCTGCCTGCAGGCACCCGTGCGCAGAACTGGCACCCTCCTCCAGGCAGGGGCTTACGATGTTTCCTGCTTTCTTCGCAGAGAGTGTACTACCTTTCCTTGGAATTCTACATGGGCCGGACGCTGCAGAACACCATGATCAACCTGGGGCTGCAGAACGCCTGCGACGAGGCCATCTACCAGGTGAAGGGAGAGGCCCCCTTGCCCGCTCTGGAGCCGGAGGGGCTTTCTTGCACCCACTTGGGGCGCCCTCTGTTCAGGCTGTCCTTGGGTGGCATTGAACGGTTGCAGAAGGCTGAGATGCGTGGACTTGTCTCGGCTGCTGGAGTTGTTAAACATCGGTTTTAGATGTCTGGTGACCTTTTATGTTTCACTGTTATTTATATTTTATATCTTATTAAAATTTAAGAGATACATCAGTTGTATACCAGAAAACTCAAGTCTCGTAAGTACAGGGCAGAAGGCAGATTGTGCCCGCAACTCATGTGGAATCTGTGGAGCTGGTGATGTATTCAATTCTTCCTGGCGTCTTAAAGGACGAGGGGAAAGAGCACTCCAGATATTTTGAGCTGCAACTCCCATCAGGCCTAGCAATGGTGAGGGATGATGGGGACTGTAGGCCAAAGCATCTGGATGAGTGCAAGTTGCTTGAGCCTGTGGTGAGGACTAGAAACTTGGACTTTAAATAAATAGAAGAGCTTTGATTCTTAAAAAGTTCTGCTTCTATGCAGAATCCCAGATTCCACGTGAGAGTGAGTTGCAGCCCTGCCGCCTTGTTCCTCATGTTGCCGGGGCATCCGCAGGAAAGATAGAAGCATAACACAAAAACAGCGAGTCAGAAGGGGCCTCCGAGGCCATCTAGTCTGACCCCCGGCTCCAGCCAGCTCCATTCACAACATGCCCACCATGTGCATGTCTAGCCTATCCTTGAACACCCTCTCCGATGGGGCTCCAGCCACTTCCAGTGGAGCCAGTTTTGCACACTCGGCTGCACAAACCGAGGAGCCTTTCCTTAGGCTGCGTTTGGCCGAATGTGATATTGTGGTTCCTGCAAGTGCCCCTCCTGCGGGAGGACCAGAACCTCCTCTTACTTTAGTCATATAAGGACCGAGTCAAAGAAACAGCCTTAAGTCAATCCTATTTCCACCTTGGCGGGTGCAGGATCTGTTTTAAATAACTCTTTCAATATGGGTTTTATTGTTGATTGGTTGAGAACTTGATTGGGATGCTGCGTTTTTTTCTGTTTTGTCTTATTGTTAAACCATCCCGAGTCCACAGTAAGAGGCAGTCTAAAAAAGTTTTAAGTAAGTAAGTAAATAAATAAAATTACAGACAGGCCACGTTTTGCTAGGCTGCCCTGCGCAGATCTGGATCTGTGACTGATTTGGCTCTTTTTCCAGGAACCATTCGGTCCCGTACATGGTTTTGCATCGGGCCTGTGGCACAACCCATTTCGCACGCAAGAGCAGCTCCTCTGTTCGGAGGAATATCCGAAGCGGCAGCTGCCGGTCAGCCTGGCAAGCAGGCCAAGGAGCTCAGTTGCTTTGGCAACCCCCTGCCCCCCCGCCAGTGAAGGTGCTTCCGTTCCCCGCACTTGCAATGGTTCACCTCTACACAAATGGCGGCCCCCACCCCACCCCAAGCGGGGCGGCTCCGATCCGCCACACGCAAGCCCGGCAGGGCTGGGAGGCTGTGCTCGCGGGGGGCAAGTGCCAGCTCCCACCTTTCTCAATTTTTTTTCCCAATTCATATCCTGCCTTTTTCCTGCAAAGGGCTCAAGGCAGCTTGCATCCTTCTCCTCCTCCATCTTATCCCCACAACGACAACCCTGTGAGGTAGGCTGGGCTGAGAGTCTGTGACTGGCCCGGAGTCACCCAGTTGGCTCCATGGCCGAGCGGGGACTCGAACCCAGATCCTCCGAGTCCAGTCCCACGCCCTTAACCACACTGCCTCGCTCACACTGGAGATGTCCATGGTGCTGAACCTTGTCCTCACAGTAGGTTCCCCACGGCCTGAGTCCCAGTCCCACGCTCTTAACCACTGTGCCACACTGCCTCTCTGATTTCCACCCTGCAGCTGTGTGAGGAGCTTTCGCCCTGTCTCTGTTTGGCTTTTTAGCTCGGGCTGGACATAGAAGAACTGGAGGAGATCGAGGAGGATGCGGGGCTCGGCAACGGAGGCCTGGGCCGGCTGGCCGGTGAGCGAGGCGTGCCGGGGGGGGGGGGGGGGGGGGGGGGGGCGGGGGCCCATGCGGCCTTCCGCTGGCCAGCTGCCAATGCAGCACGAACTGGGGCCATTCACGGAAGCAGAAAAGGCGGATCAGGGCCGAGGATACCTCTGGGGGTCCCTGCCTGCGTCTGCTGCAAGTTCAGCTTCGGGGAAAGCCGTTCCTCAGTGCAGGAGGGGCAACTTGGCGGCTTGCAGAGGGACTGAATCTGACCCTTGCGGGCTCCCGGAATGGGTGGATTCCTCACCTTTGCAGGGTCCCCCCACATCCGCCACCTTTCTAACAGGTCGAAGCTTGCTTTCTGGCAGGGCTTAACGCAACATTATCAAGCCCCTTGGGAATTGCACCATGCGCCGTGGTTTAAACTTCCTCCGTGAGTGACAGATAATTTGGCTCAGCAGGGGTGGGGCGCCGCCTCCGTTTTCCTCTGCTTCTCCCCGGCCCCAGCGCTGGGACATCCCGGGCTGTTCAGAGCTCTGAGAAGCCCAAAATGCTTAAAAACCAGTCAGCAGTGGGCGGCACAGTTTCCGCTTGGCGTGTGCACCGTGTCCCTCCAGAGAAGGCTAGGTAGGCGCTTCATTGCAACTGCGTGGCCCACGATGGATTATTTTTCAGCTTCTTGTTCAAAAGATGAGGAATATGGACCGCACCCTTTGCAGAAGAAACCTTGGGGGTTTTGTGGGGTGTTGGAATGGCCCTGAGTTGCCCTCCCTTTCCCAAGAGCCACAAGGACGTCCCTGAAAACACCCGAGAACCTGTAGAAAGTGTATTTTGGGAGTTGAGTTACGTTGTTCGCGAAGTCGTGCCGAACCATCGCAACCCCATGGGCAACACTCCTCCAGGCCTTCCTGTCCTCCATCATCCCCCGGAGTCCACTCAAGCTCACGCCAACTGCCTCAGTGACCCCATCCAGCCCCCCCATCCTCTGCCTTCCCCTTCTCCTTTTGCCGTCAATCGTTCCCAGCATTAGGCTCTTCTCCAGGGAGTCCTTCCTTCTCATTAGGGGCCAAAGTATTTGAGCTTCATCTTCAGGATCTGGCCTTCTAAAGAGCAGTCAGGGTCGATCTCCTCTAGGACTGACCGGTTTGATCGCCTTGCGGTCCAAGGGACTCGCAGGAGTCTCCTCCAGCACCGCAATTCAAAGGCCTCAATCCTTTGGCGCTCAGCCTTCCTTATGGTCCAGCTTTCACAGCCATACATTGCAACTGGGAAAACCACAGCCTTGACTATACGCACTTTTGTTGGCAGGGTGAGGTCTCTGCTTTTTAGTATGCTGTCTAGATTTGCCATAGCTTTCCCCTCTAGGAGCAAGCATCTTTTAATTTCTTGGCTGCAGTCTCTGTCTGCAGTGATCTTGGAGCCCAGGAAAATAAAATCTGTCACTACCTCCGTTTCTTCCCCATCTATTTGCCTGGAAGTGAGAGGACCGGATGCCGTGATCTTAGTTTTCTTAATGTTGAGTTCCAAGCCAACTTTTGCGCTCTCCTCCTTCACCTGCATCAAGTGGCTCTTTAGTTCCTCTTTACTTTCTGCCATTAGAGTATTTTGGGAAACAGCCCCTCAGGATCCCTGGGTTTCTGGAAGAGGGCTGGGAAGTCCCAACTCTCCCTTCAGGTTTGCAATTTCCCCCGAAAAGCACAGTTTGCACCTTGGGACAAGGGCAAGTCTGAGGGAAGCCGTGGGCCTGGAACGGGGATTGTGCTTTAAGGGGCAAGACCGCCTCCTCACCAGTGGGTTTCCCCATGTGTTGACGGTTCTCCTGCCCCCCTCACTAGCAACGGGGGGGGGGTGTTGTCAACCATTGAGGGATTCCTGAATGGCTCCTGCAGCTGCCGGGAATGGGCAGAAACGCTTTTCCAGTGGTCTGCAGGCACTGCCCCTCCTGCCAAAGGGCGCTCTCGGTTTTGACTTGCCTGTGGCTCATTCTGCGGTTGGGCTGGGAACAGCGCCGTAATCCCCGGTGGGTATATGAAGCCCTGCTGCAAGCCAGGCCTAGCTGGCATGGTTTGTCTGCTAGCCCAGAGTGCTTACATGCAGGCAACCTCCTATACCACTGTGGCTGGCAAACCTCCACGGTTGAACGTGTTGTGGAAACCCAGTTGGGAAGAGCTTTAAGTTGGAATAGGTCGGTGTTTCTGGCGCTGCCCTGTTTGACTTTGGCCCTGTGGAATATGGTCCCCAAGAGCTTTTCCGGAAAGGAATTCAGGCTGAAAGCTCTCCAGCCACATCAAGGCGTGGGTGGCTCATTCCTCTGGGGACGGTGGAGTTCTGAAGCCAGATGTTACCTCGCTCTGTATCAGCCCTGCAAAACTGCCCAGCGGTGGCATCATTTGATCCCTGCGCCGAGAAATCACAGGGGCTCAGAAACTGGGTTGGGTTTTGGGTGACAGCAAACCTTATTTATTTTTTATGTAAAACATTTTTACCCCATCCAATATGGAAAAATGTCTCTGGGCAGCTTACAAAATTAAAGCAATAATATTTACAATAAAACAATAATAATTACAATGATTAAGACAATAAATAACAAAACAATAAATAGCATTCATAATCCCAACAAAACAAAATGTGACTGTTGATGTTAAAAACCATTTAAAAACCTGAAACACTTGGCTTTCTCAGCGGTGGCGCCTAAGTTATGGAACGCGCTCCCCAGAGAGGTCCACCTGGTGCCGTCGTTATTTGTTTTTCGGCGCCAGGGGAAGACCTTTTTATTTAAGCAGCATTTTAAATGTTAATATTATTGAATTTTATCTGGCCAGGGCGGCTTATTTTATATTGTATGTATTTTATTTTAATGTTTATATTTTTAATTATAATTATTTAGCTACTTGTTGTAAGCTGCCCCGAGGCTTCGGCGAATGGGGCGGCATAAAAACGTTTTAATAAATAAATAAATAGATAATAAGGGTGAATAAAAAGGTTTTTACCTGGCACCGAAAGGGGAATGGAGTCGGCGCCAGTCTGTCCTAACCAAGCTTCACTGCTTTTCCCAACAGCCTGCTTCCTAGACTCGATGGCCACGCTTGGCCTCGCAGCCTACGGTTACGGAATCCGCTACGAGTACGGTATCTTCAACCAGAAAATCAGAAACGGATGGCAGGTAACGGTGATGCTTCCAGCGTGTGGAAGATGCAGGCGCTTCCCATGCTCGGCACTTGGCCACTGGGCGCGGGACATGAGGGCCAGACTCATGTTGTTGTTGTTGTTATTATTATTGCGCACTGATTCTGTCCTGGGCGTACCTGTCATAGATTCGTAGAATAGTTCAGCCGGAAGGGGCCCGATTGGGTCCAGTCTCCTGCTCAGTGCGGGACCCCAGGTTAAACCATCCCTCTCAGGTGGCTGTCCAGTTGCGTCTTGGATGCCCCCAGTGTGGGAGAGCGCACTGCCTCCCTAGGTCACTGGTTCCATTGTCGTCCTGCTCTACCAGTCAGGAAGCTCTTCCAGATGTTCCGTGGGAAATCGGCTTCCTGTAACTTGAGCCCGTTATCCCATGTCCTGCTCTCTGGGATGATCGAGGAGCGCTCCTATCTCAGAACCTCACAGGTGCATGTGGGCTTTAAAGCTGCGAAGTCCTCATGCAGAAGTGGACGTGGCGTGATTCTTAATGCCTTCAAGCCAAGTGCTAAGGGGGGTTTCCAAAGGGTGGAAACATGACGCATGCACAAGAAGAAATGTGCAGGAGTCTGGGTGCCATGGCAAATAATTTGTTCTCTCAAAGCCCCAAACCCCTGGAATAAACCCTCTTTATTTTCCTGATGTTGTAAGACCTGACTGTTTCAACTGGGGCTTTATTATTAGTCGCATTTTTAGGATGCTTTTTTTTTTTTAATTACATTTCGTATTGTCAAGCCATCCTGAGGCTTCAGTAATGGGACAGTCTAAATAAATAAATACAAATGGCAGGTTTGAAAATAGAAGCTGCCAGGCAGACGTGTGTGTGTGTGTGTGTGTGTGTGTGTGTGTGTGTTCAGACTTTGCCCCTAACAGGGCTCAAGCATGTTGAAAGTGCCAACACCTCGTTGCACAATGCACATTGTTTGCTCGGTTGAAAGCGGGAGTTTTCTTTGAGTGAGTCCTCTTAGGAGCCGAAAATTATCACACGCTGTGCTGCTTGGTGTTTTAATTGCAGTGAACTGGAATTTTGTCCCATTTTTGTTTCCAGCCAATGTTTTCATAAGCCACCATGTATTTTGTTCATCCTTTTTTAAAAGATAGTGTATTTATTCATTTATTCATTCATTCATTCATTCATTCATTCATTGAAGAGAGCCGGTGTGGTGTGGTGGTGAAGAGCGTGGGACTGGGACTCAGAGGATCCGGGTTCGAGTCCCAGCTCGGTCATGCAGCCAACTGGGTGCCTTTGGGCCAGCCACAGACTCTCGGCCCGACCTACCTCACTGGGTTGTTGTTGTGGGCATAAGATGGAGGAGGGGAATGATCTGAGCTGCCTTGAGCCCTTTGTAGGAAAAAGGCAGGATATAAATTGAAAAATAAATAAAATAAAAAAATAAATAATTATTTGAACAGTTCCTGGGTGAAACTCAGGGGATGGACTGTGTCCCAGTAGCACAGCAGATGCTTTGCAGGGTGCAGGTCTAAGATTTGATCCCCAGCAGTGAAAGGCCAGTGTGGCATTTATTTTTTATTTTTTATTTATTAAAACATTTCTATGCCTCCCCATTCGCCGAAGCCTCGGGGCGGCTCACAACATAAGATAAAGTACAAAAATAACAATATAAAAATAACAATATAAAATAAATAACAATATAAAAGAAGTCACCCTGGCCAGATAAAAGCAAATACTGTTAACAATTAAAATGACACTTAAATAAAAAGGTCTTCGCCTAGTGGTGAAGAGCACGGGACTGGGACTCAGGTGATCCGGGTTCGAGTCCCCGCTCAGCCACGGAGCCAACTGGGTGACTCTGGACCAGTCACAGACTCTCAGCCCAGCCTACCTCACAGGGTTGTTGTTCTGAGGATAAGATGGAGGAGGGGAATGATGTAAGCTGCCTTGAGCCCTTTGTAGGAAAAAGGCAGGATATAAATCCATAAATAAATAAATAAATTTTCAAAACTTGTATGTGCCGTCCTCTATGCGTGGCATCTTGGGACAGCTTACAACATTAAAATCAAAAACAAATATAAAGCAATATACAACCAATAAAAGTAAGAAGTCAAGAGCAACTGATTAAAACTATTATAATACTAATGTTTAAAATAACACTTAAATAAAAAGGTTTTGACCTGGCGCCAAAAAGAATATAGGCTCGGCGCCAGGCAGGTATCAGCTGGGAATGGGGGAAGCAATAGCTTCCAGAGGTGCTTGGACTGCAGCCCCCATTATCCTTAATTATAGGCTGTGTTGTCCAGGGCTGATGGGGGTTGGAGTTGGTTTCCTACATCTGGTACAAATCAGGAGACCAGTCTCTTCACGTGACTTCATTCAGGGGTGTGTGGGGAGGGGGGGTGTTTGTGCGTGTGCCCCCAGTGCGTTTTTGTAGCAGGGAGCCAGGAGGAGGAGCAGCCTGTCGAATCTAATTATGGGATGTCCTTGGTGCTGCCCCCCTTCTGGCCTCACCAAAGATGTTTTGTAATGAAACCCCTGTATGTACCTGGTGGAAAAATACAACTTCTGTGCATGGACGGGATTGGGTTGACCCGGATCCCCCTCGAGTGGCACTTCGCCTTTGATGTGCTACTCACGAGGCACCCTGCCAGGGAGAGGGATCCGAGACTGGGGGATGAATGCAGAGAAGATGCGGCCACGCCACTTGGTGGCCAGGGAGTCTGGGGCACCTGGCACAGACGGCAGCGGCCAAAGGGCACTGAACCCCCTGCCCTGGAAGCGGGCGAGCAAAGATTCCTTGGAAGGCAAGCTGGCAGACGGCCACCCCGGGAGGAGCTCGGCTCCCCCGCACCTCCGTCCCCCTCGCCAGGCGTTTTGCGTGCCAGGAGGTCTTTTTGGCCGCCCCCTCGCAGGCCAAGTCAGTGAAAGTCTGATGAGCAGCCAGGCCTGGGAGGTTTTTTCCCCCGAGCTTCTTCCGGCCACTGGGTTACGGCAATGATTAACGGAGAATTAACTGCTGTGCCCGGGCGCAAGGCGGAGGTTGCGAGCGGAGGTGCCGCGTGGAGTCGATGCGTGTGAGCTCCCTGCCGTGGCTCCCAGCCCCCGGGGGTCCTGTTGCAACATCTCCACCCATGCCTGGCAGGGCCAGGGGGTCCCTCGCTGGGCGGGCAGGAAAGGGTTAAGTCCTGCCTCTTGGGCCTCCTGCAAAACCCTTTGAAGTATCTCCACTCACTGGCCCTTTTTGGAAGGGGCCATGCTGTGCTTCCTTGGCCCTGACCCCAGGGGGCTTCCAGATAGGTTAGACTGCACCTCCCATCAACCCCAGCCAGCCTAGCCAGCAATGGGAGTTGAACTCCAACATGGCTGGACAGTTCTAGTGTGTGGAAGGCTGTTCTAGAGGGCATGGATTGATCTGGGGCAGGCTGGCACAGGGGAAATGCAGCCCTGCCTGGGGGTCTCCGGCTGTGTTGGACCTCAACCGCCATCACAACCTGCGTTCCGAGAAAGGCTGCCCCATCCAGAAGCTCTTTCCCTTGTACTAGTTCTGCAGCAGGGTTGCCTTGTAGCCATATTTTCCCAACACTCTGGCGCCTGGGCATACGCAGAGTGCTTTTTAAATGGGTCCGGTGGTCTGGGGTAAGAGGGCAGGCAAGTCCATTCAACAGAATGTTGCCAAGTCTCCTTTCTACACTGATGTCTGCATCTTTGCACGTAAAAGAAAGCCAAAAAAAAAAAAAAGTTAAGCACTGTCTCCCAAAGTGGGGAAAATCCATTTTCCCTTAGCAAGAGTGAGGATCGCAGCTCAGCTCCATGAGAACAGGGAAACCCGGGTTGGGGGCTTTGGATTCGGTCCTCACTGCCAGCCAAAACATCCTGGCCCGGCTGCAATTCCGAAAGCGCTCTCCACGCAGGGCCGGAGGCTGAGATGAGGGCCGCGCCAGAGTGCTTGCTCAGCTCCTGATTCTGCAACGTCTTCATTTTCCAAGCGGGGGTGAAGCCACCTGCCCCTTGGCCCAACTCTGGTCTGGCCTCGGACTTCTCGGTGCAGAAGGGCATTTGTTACTTGCAAGCAGGGTGTAGCCGGGGGAAGCGGAGGTCCGTGTTAAGCAGCAGGGTGTCAATTGGTCTTGGTCTTCAACAGAGCACCTCTGTCACCATGTCAAGTCAGCAACATCTGGCGGGCCAGTGTGGTGCCCTCCCCCCCTTTTCCAGCCTCAGCTCATCTCTGGACGGAGTGGCCACCCTCTGCGGCCCAGCGTGGGCCTGGGCAAGGGGCAGAAACGCGCCCCATCTCACCCCTGGGCCTAGTCTACCCCGCTGTGTGTGGCCCCTGGAGACGCGTCCCCCTCCAGAGAAAGGCTTGGCCACAACGATAGCACAGGAGTTTCGGCACAGGCCAGAGTTGCGCGATCTTTTAAGCGCCGGAGTTTCGGCACAGGCCAGAGTTGCGCGATCTTTTAAGCGCCGGAGTTTCGGCACAGGCCAGAGTTGCGCGATCTTTTAAGCGCTGGCTCTTTGAGGGTAATTGGGGAAGTGAGGTGATGGCAGTTCATAGATGCCGCTCAGCCTAAAGGGGTGGGTGCCGCGTTCGTCCGTTCCCCGTCGCCGTGGCTTGTCAACATCTCAGACTCTTTCGCAGCTCCGCCGCTGCAGCTCCTGTCCACACAGGTTGGGCGGTCCTGCATGCGATGCTGCTTTGCTCCTGGCAGTGGGTGCTCAGACACTGGTGCTTCGTCCTCCGTCCTTACCTGCGCATTTCCTTTCCGCAGGTGGAAGAAGCTGACGATTGGCTCAGGCACGGGAACCCGTGGGAGAAAGCCCGACCAGAGTACATGCTCCCCATTCACTTCTATGGGAGAGTGGAGCACACCCAGACAGGCGTCAGATGGGTGGATACTCAGGTATCGGAGGAAGGGTGTATCTCGGGGGTGTTTGGCATGGGATGGGGGAGGCTCAGATCCTGCCCCCGGCTGTGAAGTCCATGGGGTGGAGTTGGCCCTTCGCCAACCCTTTGAGCCCCCCTCGCAGGCTCGTTGAGAGAGGAGAGCCGGCTTCGTGGTCAAGTGCTGAGAGCCAATTTGACGTGGGCGGCTTACGGAGGGCTGGCTTTTCTCCCTGGCTGCCTTCACCGGAGCCGTGGAATTCGTGCTGCAGGCATTCCCTGCAACTTGCAGGGCCCATGGGGGGGGGGGTCCGTGGAGCCCCCAGATGCTCAAGGAAGGCATGCCTCTAGTCACGAGGGTGCAGGACGCCTGGGTCCCTGGCCGCACCCACTTTTCCCGGCCCCCCGGCCCTGTCCCCAGCCGCCAATCCTTTCGTGTCCCAGCTTTTGCACAGCTTGCCGGCTCCATTGCTGGCAGCAAAAGTTTCAAGCAAAACAAACGCTAGCAATTTTAGCTTCCCCTCCTGCAAACAATGCAGCATCACCCCGCCCCCCGGAGTTTCTCCATAAGACAATTTGGCCCTGGGCCAGAAAGCACCCCAGCCACCTCTGAAGCAGCATCCATGCAGTGCAAATATGGGCGGGGGGCTTCTTTGTCCACAGGTGGTCCTGGCCTTGCCCTACGACACGCCGATTCCCGGCTACATGAACAACACGGTCAACACGATGCGGCTTTGGTCTGCCCGGGCACCCAACGATTTCAACCTCCGTGACTGTACGTATGTTCTTGGATGCTCTCTCTTTGGCAGTAGCAAAATGCCTGGAAGTAGCTCGTGTCCCTTTTAAGTTGTTCAGGTTTCTAGTCCTCTTTGTTCCCCTTATCCCTGGTGTGGACCTAGGGCAGGGAGCCAAATCCACTTGAGTCCGTCTGGCGTGCTTTCCAGCTGCGTTGGACTGCAGATGTGCCGCCTGCTGCAGCCTGCGAATTGCAGCCTGGTGCCCCTAGTTAGGGTTGTCTGAGGGAAAGATGCTGGCATGAAGAGATCAAGGGCGCCAGGTGTTAAATATGTGGGCAGGTAGCTTTCCAAGGGGGAAAGAGCACCTTGCCAATGGCTCCAGCACCTGGACGGTCCAGGCTGGCATTTTTGGAGCCAGAGGAAAGCCCCGTTAGGACTGAAGGCAGCCCGTCGGCAGCTTGCCTGCTCGAGCGCCTGGCCCAGCGGGCAAATACAGAGACGCAGCAACTGGGGGTTCGTGCCAGCTTGTGTGTGCCTTGCAGGTATTCTCTGAACCCCCACGGCGAGCCGCCACTGCCCGTTTGCAGCAGCGGTGGCTTGCCTCCCTTCTTCGGTCCCCCCAAAAGGAGCTTTGAAAATAGGTCCCCAGTGGAGCCGTTAAGCCTCTCCTTTCTTCGAGCCTCAGCCCGGCCTCTGAGAAGCGAGCGGCCACACAGTTCCAAGCCCCTCTCTGCTGCCCTGCAGGGCCTTGGGGAATTAAAAACGAAGGCCGGGACGCTGCCCCTGGGATGCCCCGTGCGTCCCCCTTGCCGATCCCGCACCTTTGCAGCTTAGCCCCCCCCCCCGGCCTGCTGTCACCTCTGCCGTCCCACCTGTGCAATGACACACAGCTGTTTTTGGACGTTCCCTCCTAGTCAACGTGGGCGATTACATCCAGGCCGTGCTGGACAGAAACCTGGCAGAGAACATCTCGCGAGTTCTGTATCCCAACGATAATGTGAGTCCCACGGCTCGGTGTGCCACTTGCGCGGACGGAGTGGGGGGCAGCCAAGGACACGGAAGCAGAGCGGGTCCGAAGGGGTCTCCCGGGCCATCTAGTCTGACCCCCGGCTCCAGCCAGCTCCGCTTGTGACATGCCCGCCATGCGCATGTCCAGCCGGCTCGGGACTGCGGCCTGCCTGCAGGGGCACTGCCTCAGCCTCGCTGGGCCCCCGAACCGAACGAGGGGGCCGGCGAAAACTTTGTGCAGTCTTACCAGAACACGGGTTGCGTGAGCCCTGCTCCCGAAAGGTCTTTCATTGTTATTTATTCATTTATTAAAAGCTTTCCTAACCCATCCACTACAAGCGTCTCAGGACGGCTTACAAAAGATGAGTAGAATTAAACAAATCTCACAACTGAAATACTAAAACCCCAGTTAAAATCAATTGAACATTAAAGTAACAGGAAAAGAAAAAGCGTTTTGCCTGTGGCCAAAAAGAACATAATGTCGATGCCAGGCAAACTTACTTCTATTTTCTCGCTGAATGTGTGGCTGTGCAAATGTCAGAGGCAGCGAACCCGTCCACAGCCTGTTTTTAGAATATTGGTCGCCAGACGTGGAAAGGGGGTTTCTTGAAAGGCCGCTGTGTGACTCGTGAGGGCCGACCGTTTCCGGGGAGCCTAAACACGGGTGAGCGCCATGCCAATTCATCCGTCATGCCCCGAACATGAGTAGGGCTTCCATGACTGGCCCTCATGCGCCCACCCGTGTCTTCCATGAGTCACGCATGCTCTGCTTTAGTCACTCACTTTGGCCAGCGTGTCAGAACGGCACAAACCAGAGTTTGCTACTACAGGCAAACCGTGGTTTGCACATTTCCTGCAAGCCAGGATTGTGAAGCGTGCTTTGCAGTCCTGGGTTTGGAAGACTCACGCAAGCGATTGCATTGGTTGTGGTGCTGCGAAAGAGCTTCGTGGAAGCTGTCCTGGTGCATGTGAGGCAGAAGAGGCAGCCTGCTTGCACGGGGGATGCATGGAGCGGACCCCCGGCCATGACTCCGCACCCCGGAGGCCAGGAGCTGAGCCAAGGGATCTGCCTGATGCCCACCCTCTGCCCGGATTCCTCCACATTCCTGGTTAATTGTTGCTTCTGCGTTCACACAAGCGCAGGCGGATGCATGGGAAAGGGCCCACCTGTGCCATGCAGAGCGGGATTTTGTGGTGTTGGTGAACAGACCCTTGTTCATGGCGCCTGAATTCCTCTTGGTTCCATTCCTCGCTCCCTGGCGGCCTTTGACTTGCTGCCGCTCGAGCCCCATCAGCTCTAATGGGCCTCGCCACCGGGGAGGGCACCTGGCACACACATCGCCTTGCCTTACCCCATCATCCCCAAATTGATTGTAAGCTCCTCAGGGCAGAGATCTGTAAAGCCCTGCTGAACTCATTGCCCTGCCTGGGAAGCCAGCCTGGCTCAGCGGTCAGGGTGTTGGCCTGGGACTCAGGGCGCCCCCGTTCTAGTCCCCCCTTGGCTGCTAAGCTCAGGGGGTGACTTTGGGCCAGTCACTGTCTCTCAGCCTAGCCCACCTCACAGGGTTGTTATGAGGATAAGGGCGTATAAATAGAACGAATAAAATAGAATAAAAGCATAGGAATCCTTCCTGAAAGAAGCAGTGGTAGCTGTCTGTGGTCTGCCTCTCGTGGTGTTTTCCCCTCCAGGTGTGCCATGAGCCTCGGTCTGCCAATTTGCCTGCACAGTAATCCAAGCTTTTGCTTGTGCCCATTTTAGAGAGAGGAAGGGAGGCAGAGGTTAAACAGTGTGCCCACATATCTTCAGGGTGACCCCTGGGCTGTGGACTGACCCTCAGGGGGCTCTGCTGAATCACGCTCTCTTCAGGGGAGTGTTTGGGGATGCAGCCCTGGTTTAGGGTATCCATTGGCCGTTTCAAGGCCTGGTATTCTAAGAACGAGGCCCGTGTTCAAAAGCTTTGGCATGTCCTGAGATGAAAATCCAAGCAAGAAGCTCCTGGTCTCCCGGGCTTCTGTTCCAGGGAGTCCCCCCTCGTCATTTAATGGGCGCTTGAACTGACCCTCCGCGCATATCCATTCTGGAGGAGCTCCTGCCTCGCTGTGACAGGTGGCTGCATTTGTTAAAGACGGGATTTCTGCTTATGTGTTTTGCCCACTGCTTTCTCAGCCGTCCTGCAAGCATTTGACCTGTCTAATCCGCCCTCTTGCATGCAGCCTGTGTACCTGGTGAGGAGAATTCTGCGTAGCTGTGCCATCCTGAGGACGAGTGTGGCAGATTCGCTGGCATTGCTTTCCACAAGCCCCCGTGTGTGGATTCTCTCTTGTGTTTCCCAGAAACCCCTTTTGCTTAAGCTCCACCGCAAGGCGATCTTAGTTTATTTCTGGCCCAGTTCTTACTGAGATGGTAAACTTGTGTTCCCTGTTGGTGGGAGAGCAGGAGCAGAAGCCTCCTCTAAATTTTAAAGCAAATCCCCGAATGCAGAAAATTAGCTTCTCAAGGACCAGGGTTCAAACCTAGACGGCACTAACCTATTTCTCTTTTTGTATGGGAGAGCATGGCAAGGTTCTGCTGTCCCAACCCAAGTTCGCTGCCTCTGTGAGAAGTAGGCCAAGCGGTCCTTTCGTGCTTGAGGTTTCACGCCTGTGTCTTTGCTTAGCTTAGCTGCTTTGATCATAGAACAGATTTCTGGTAGAATTCATACCAAACCTTCATGTACACCTCATAAAATTGCAATAGTCTGCCTGCGTTTCTGGGGCGAGGCAGGCTAAGAGAAGATAATTTCTATTTACATACATTTCTGGGTTGGGGAAGAATTCATCTCGCGTATAATTTCACAAAGCAGCTTATCCTGTGGCAAGGGGGTCCTAATTCTTTCAGCTCAAGGGCAGATGCAATCCTGGAAAAGCTTTCTGGGGCCATATTCCAGGGACCGGGGCACAACCAGTGGCCAAAAGATTTTCCTGCTGGTGACTGAGGCTTCGGAGAAGCATTTCAGTCTCTGAGGATGGAGGAAATCTTCAGGAAAGCCCCAAGCCCTGGTGATCCGAAGGAGGTGTGGCCAGGAGAATTGGGCATGGCTAAGAGTGGACCTCTAAGGTGCTCCAGGTGTGATGGATTCCGCCTCTGGCAGGGGCTGATTTCAGAAAGAGAATCCAGCATGCAGCCAGGTTTGAAAGCAAACAAACCCATCGGCTGGGGGCATGGGTTGAATTCTTGCCATGTTTTAATTAGTGCTGGAGCACAATCGTGCCTCGATTCAGCGAATCTCCCACATCTCAAAATGGCCGTCCGTGTACACCTCTGTGAAACGCAAAGCTTCTCCTTGAAACCCTTAACTGAATTTCCCCACCAGACTTCAGGCCTGTAATTTTTCTTTCCTGGTCTGTTCTTGTGCTCCTGGGAGGAATGATTTTAATAGCGGCTGATTCCGGCTCCGGGGTGTTTGCTTCTATCTCTCGGAGCCGGGCTTGCCTGTGGCAAAGCTGGATCTTGTGTCCCCGGCAGGGCGGTCGGCCCCGTCTACTCGTGGCCGAGCCAAAAAATCCGTCCTGCCCAGTCCCTGCTGGCTCACAGCCGCCGATGACCAGCTAAGCGACGGAAGGGCAGGGCCTCCATGGACTTTCCGGCAAGGCAGCACAGAACAATTCAGCCTCTGTTTCTCGCGCCAGCTCTTCTTCCATTCCTGGAGCCAACTCAGAGGCGATCGCCAGTGCCAAAAAACCCCCATCCGCCTGCAGGATCATAGCTTAGGAACATGCGGGCGCTGCTGGGTCACCTCCAGGGTCCCCCTAGACCAGCTCTGCACATGGCTGCCAACCAGCTGCTCAGGGGAGACCCCCAGGCAAGAGACGGATGCCACAGCACCCTTCCACCCATCGCCCCCAGCCAGCTGCCTCTGATGCTGGAGCCGGCCTTTGGCCATCAGGAGCAGATCGGCTTCCCCTCCGTAAATTTGCTCGGCGTCTTTTAATTCCCTCCGGATTGGCGGCCGTCGCTCCGTCTTGTGGTCGTGAATTCCCTTGGCTGAGCTGCGCATCGCATGAAGGGCGACGCATTCCGAGTCTCCCACCAGTCAGCTTCATGGGATGAAAGGAGAACCGTGTCTTCTCCCTGCCGTGCACAGTTCTGTGGCGTGTACCCCCCATTTTTCTAGGCTGGGCAATCCCAGCCGCTGTAACCGTTCCTCCCTCCAGCCCTTCTTCATTTTAGTTCCCCTTTTCTGCACTTGTTCCCGCTCAACAATAGACACGTTTATTGCAATTCCCGCAACTAGAATTGCACACAGAATCCTAAATGCGGCCACACCATAGATTTGTATAGGGGGTGCGTGACCTCCGAAACTTGATTTCCGGTTCCCTTCCTAATTAAGCCTTTTTCCCAGCAACTGCACCCTGGGCTGGCTTCTGCTCCGTGAGAACCCCAAGAGCAAATTGCTGCTCAGTCACCCGACGCCCATAGAGGCAGGGGGAGCACCTCACGGCCACATCCCCCCAAGCCGGATGCAGGCTGCAAACCCATGTTTGCCACGGTTACGAAGCATCATCGACCGAGTCTTGTCCTTTTCTTATCGTGGGATTCTTGCCCCCAGTGGGACCATCCTTTCTTTCCTTGTAGTTTTTCGAAGGGAAGGAGCTGCGCCTGAAGCAGGAATACTTCGTGGTAGCAGCCACCTTGCAGGATATCATCCGTCGATTCAAAGCCTCCAAGTTTGGGAGCACCGAAAGTGTCCGGACAGCGTTTGATTCCTTCCCAGATCAGGTAACTGCCGGAACACTGCGCCGCTTCTGCTGACACCCCAAGTAACATAGAAACAGCGCGAGTCAGAAGGGGTCTCCCGGGCCATCTAGTCTGACCCCCGGCTCTAGCCAGCTCTGCTCATGACATGCCCACCATGTGCATGTCCAGCCTGTCCTTGGACACCCACACTGATGGGGCCTCAGCCACCTCCTGTGGAAGCTCATTCCACACCCTGGTGGTCCCGACTGTCAGGAAATGCTTCCTGGCATCCAAACTGAACCTTGACTCCCTGAGCTTTGCTCCTTTTTTCATCCAGCTGGGAGCTCAGCTGGGAGGCTGGGCTTAATTACAGAGCACGTACTCCATGGAGGCCACCAGATTTTAGGGGAGTCCGATCTGTTGCTTTGGGGACTAAATCAGTTCTCATGTGCAGTTTTGCCCTGGTTCTGCCCCAGAATGTCTCTTGCAGGGCTTTGCACTGGAAGATATGAAGCAAGAGGAATGGTTGCCTCTGAACATACGCAGAGAGCTTTTCCTGCCTGGAGAGCCAGCACCACTGCTTGTGCATTGTAGATTATGGGATGGAACCCTTACTTGGCTGACATAATTTTTCCCAGGCAGACTTAAGTTCCATTGCCTTTTAACCAGCCTATTTATGACCCCAGGGGTGCATCTTATGCATGCTCAGACAGAGACGGGGCCTCCAGCTCCCAGCATGCCGCAGCAGTTCTGGGGCATGCTGGGAGTTCCAGGCCATCTTTCTTCCCATTCCCCCTGCTTACTTTTCCCCTCTCTGCCCCTTGCATACCAATCCTTCAGGTTGCGATCCAACTGAACGACACCCATCCGTCGCTGGCGATTCCCGAACTGATGAGGGTATTCCTGGATATCGAGAGACTGCCGTGGGCCAAGGTTTGGAATGTTTTCTCGGCTCTGCTTCCAGGGTTTGTTTGTTTATTTATTTATTTGACACATTTATATGCTGCCCCCTTCGCAAAAGCCTCAGGGCAGCTTCCAAACAAATAAATAACCATACATTTACATTAAAAATCTAGGAACATCCCAGCATAGAATAAAATCAATACAATCAACAATTAAAATATTGTTTAAATAAAAAGGTCTTGGCCTGGTGCCGAAAAACTAATAATGACCATCCTCCACTCAGCAACCGCCCCATCCAATTTGGCCATCTTTTCGTCACCGGCACATTTTGAGTCTCTTCGTCCACCCTTGCTGCCCTTTCTCGGTTATATAGGCCTGCTCTTTTTTCACTTGCGAGAAGTTCAGGTTTCCAGATCAGTGGTACCAGATCGCTGGTGTTGCTGGCACAAAACGTTTGTTTGTTTGTTTATTTAACACTTTTGTATGCCCTGGCCCTTATGCATGGCATCTCAGGACAGCTTGCGATCCTTAAAATCAAAATACAATAAAACCAACCATATCTATAAGTCAATAATATAACACCAGTAAAAATTTCCATCAAAATCAAAAAGCGACTGTTAAAACATTAACATACTAATGACGATTAAATGAAAAGGTTTTGACCCGGCTCTGAAGAGAATATAAACCTCTCCGAGGAGCACATTCCACAATCTGGGTGCCACTGCAGAGAAGGCCCTGCTGCGGGTAGCTGTCCCTTTTACCTCCTCAGGGAGGGTTCCCGGTGCAGGGCCTCTCCCGCAGATCTTAAGGGGCATGAGGGCGTGTAAGGAAGGAGACGTTCCTTCAGGTATCCCGATCCCAAGCCGTCACCTTTCCGGATTGCCCTGCACTGTAACATCTGGATCCCAGGAGCTTCCCCCACTGCAGTTGGGAGAAAGAGGGTGGAGGTGACCCCCTCATACTGATTTCCGAAAGAGGCCAATACTATCCTTCAGCTTTGTGCAAAGGCTATTTATATCAAGCTATTTGGGGGCTTGCACGATTGTGGTGTTGCTATCATTATTATCAATAACAGCAATTTCATCATCATGAACAGCATCTGGATAAAGGAGGGGGGGCTGGTGTCTTTCTTGCATATCAGGAGCTCCATGGCGGTCGCGCTGCAGTAAGACCCCACGTGGTGGGTGGTCTCTGCCATGTGTTTGAAGGTGGATGTTCTGGTTCCGCTCTCTGGCATCTCCTTCCAGAGAATTGTGGGCAGCACAGCAGGGAAAGACCCCCACCAGAGATCTCTGCCAGCTCCTGGCAGCTGGAGCGGCTTTTCCCAAACTGGCACCCTGGAGATGTGTTGGAGTGCAGTTCCCATCATTCCCTACCTCATGGGGCCTGGGCTGCCTTGCTAGAAAGGGCCCTCGACAGGCCTCTCAAGGGCTCCACCTGCTGGAATTGTTGAGGAATAAAAGTGCAGGTGAGAGGCAGGTGACCCTTCCCGGGCTGGATTTCACGTGGCGCCTGCCCAAGGCAGTCCAAGACTTCTTCATCTCTGCGTCTCAGTATTTGGAATGACCTGAACGGAACACCTGGAATGTGGGTTTCCAGTGAGCCGTACTCGGGCCTTTGTTCAAATTCTGGTCGCCCGCCCAGACCGTTTCTTCTGCAACTTGGGATAGTCACAAGAACTGGACGTGCGTCTCTGGTTCTGAGGTGCTCCTGACAAGTCCTCTTGCTGTGCTGCTCCAAAAGCCCTTTGGCTGCTGCCTCTGTGGACTGGGAAAGGAAGCCGGGCCTCCAGATGTTGTTCCCCCGTGTCAGTGCAGGGCTGCCAGGCCCCCGAGAGACGTGCACCCCGTCTCGGTCCAAGGGGGGAGCCTGGGGACTCTGCAGGGCGTCTGTCTGACCCCCGGAGTTCTTTCTTTGTTTAACAGTGTTGTCATATTGGGGCTTCCAGCTCTTGAGGGCGTAGAGAGTATATTTACACCAATAGCTAACTACCACAAAGCATGCGGACAATTTCAAGGAGCATGAATCCCAATTAATAGTTAAAAACTGCTCCAGTACAAAATTTATTCATATAATAACCTACTCCCCAAAAGAAGCAACTACTGGATGTAGAGTCCTAGAATAGAAGAGTTGGAAGGGGCCATGAAGGCCATCTAGTCCACCCCTGTGCTGTTGCAGGACTCCAAGTCACACCACCCCACTCAGAGGGCTGCCCAGTTTCCCCTTGAATGTCTCCAGGGTGGGAGAGCCCCCCCCCCCCCCCGCCTCTCCAGGCAGCCAAAACATGTATACAAAAGCATTCCCTGCAATTATCTCTCTGGCAGCAATTAGGCAAATCAGTCAGTCCCTTGTTAAAGACACCGCAGTGTCCAAGAGACACGAAACAAATGTTTTTGCTGAATAGGCCCATCGTTTAGGATCCAGAGATGCTACAGGCAGGCTTGAGGGTAGTGATTGGCCAATTAGGCAGAACCGGACAATCCAGTTTCCTCTTCCATTCTGCTTAAAGGCCTGTATATTGCATTTCTTCATCAGTAAGAACCATTTGTCGTCATGGATTGTGGGTCCCCTTCCTCGATCAGCCCAGGCAATCCCTCTTGTGATGCTAATGATGGAGCTGTAGCCGGACCGAACCTGGATAATGACAGAGACTGGCCCAGGGGAGGCTCTGCCCGGGGGAGAGACCTGCCCGCCGGTGTTGCTCGCGCTCGCCCTGCCTGGGGAGCCCGGGACCCAAACCGTGGTCGGGCCTGCAGGCGCAGGGTGTGCTTTCCCGCTAGGTTCGCGCCACGCCTCCCGGCTGCCCGCCCCTGCTTTCTCCCCTTGCCTCGGCTCTCCTGACTCTCGTCCCCGCGCATTCCAGGCCTGGGACATCACCACCCGGACCTTCGCCTACACGAACCACACGGTCCTCCCCGAAGCCCTCGAGCGCTGGCCGGTGGAGCTGGTGGAGAAGCTGCTGCCGAGGCACCTGCAGATCATCTACGAAATCAACCAGCGGCACCTGGACGTGAGTCGGGCTGCGTGGCGGGATCTCCCTCGCGCGCTCGTCTGGCCGTTCTGGAATGGCGGAAATCATTCCTGAGCGGCTGCTCTGTGTACAGCTTCCTGACTGTGCTGTGCTGGGTCAGAGCAAAGGTGGAAAACCTGCTGCCCGCAGGATCCCTCCAGCCGGAGGGGTGCCAGGCCTCCCGCTGCCCAAGCCCTTCGGCAGCTGGTGTGTCCAGGAAGGCCACCTCTGGGGAAGGAGGGAGCCCGTGGCCAGCGAGGCTGGTAGCCACTGATAGCTGATTTGCCCGTGGGTCTGCCCCCAGTGGTTGCACTGATGTTCTGGGATGTCCTTTTTCACTTTTCCACCCACAAAGTGTCAGGGTGAGGCCAGGAAAGATCTGCCCACGTGCGGCTCAGACATCGCCTTGGAAGCAAGGCGGCCTGAAGCCCAATCTGAGTGAGGGCAACATTTCCAGCCCTCACTCCAGCACAGCCCGCCCTAGCCTGGTGGCCTCCAGATAGGTCGGACTACGACTCCCAGCACCCTGCTGGCCAGGTAGCCTAACCAGACCGGAGAAGCCTGCGCCTCAAGTTTTGTGGGAGACAGGAAAACAATCCAGAAATAGTGAAAAGGATGAAGAACGGGATATTTTTGTGCAATTTCTCCCTTCCCTGCCAGGTGTGCCTCTCCAGCCTCAAAAGTTTGTCTTGGAAGGTGTGGGTCAGCCTCATTTACTCCAAAAGGAATTATCAGCTTAAGTCCCCGTTCCTGGGGAATCCCAGTGCGTGTTTTCCCAGCACGGAAGAGTTTGGTTCAGTAGCGTAACATTTACCTTTAAGCCAGGGTGGTAAACCTTGTTTGGCTCAGGGGCTGAATTCCGTTCCGGAGAGGTGTTCGTGGGGCTCCAGAGGTCGGCAGGACCAAAGGCGACGGGCGCTGGAGCCCAGACCCAAGCCCACTGTGCCTTAAAGCTCCCAGGGCAAGGAAGAAAACCTTGGAACAGGTCTTTGTACCTTGGAATGGTGCACAAAAGCCGCCCAGAGCCAGGCGAGGCAGGTCTGAGCCGTCAGGCTGGGAGTTGTGCCATGAATGCCGGCCAGATGTTGCCGAGTTCGGGTGTCCAAACGGGGGGGAGCGTGCGGGTGACAGGCCTTTTCCTTCCTTGTGTGCCCCCAGAGGATTTCAGCACTGTTCCCGAAGGACGTCGACCGCCTCCGGCGGATGTCCCTGATCGAAGAGGAGGGGGTCAAGCGGATCAACATGGCCCATCTCTGCATCGTGGGTTCGCACGCGGTGAACGGCGTCGCCAAGATCCACTCCGAAATCGTCAAGTCTCAAGTGTGCGCAGGGGAGGGTGGTTTGGACCCCGTGGGGTGGGGTGGGGTGGGGTGGGGGCGGGAAGGCTGCCAGTGGGGCCCGGGGCCAAATCTGGACCTAGGTTCAAATTCGGGGCGGGCAGCGGGTGATCTGACACGGGGCTGGTTTTGGGGCTCTGCTCCAGATGCCCCTCGGTACGTCCGGAGAGTCACTTGTGCCGGTTTTCCCTGATGCATCCAGTTCTTTCCTCAGTTTATTTATAAATCGGTTTATTCCGATTTATAGGACATATACCAGGATGCAGATCCTGCCACGGAGCGTTTCAAGGGACATGGAGCGAATACGCTGTTGCACGATACCCGTTAATTTTTTTAAAAAGGCTTCAGGCCCCTTCCCTTGGCTGGTGCCCGAAGATGGCCTGGTGTGGGGAGCACTTGGAAGGGAAGGGGGCACCGGGTGCCAGCCTTGCAACCCTCCCTCGGCAGCCACCCCACAGGGCTGTGGGGCAGAGCCTTCTTGGCTGCGTTCTCCGTGGCTAGGACTTTTTTTGTGCCCCGTTCTGCTCAGGAGAGCTGCTTTTCCGCGGTCCCCTCCCCGCTTTCAGAGTGCTTGCATCGCTATTCTGTATTATATTTCCATCACACCCGCTCTCCTCCCAGGAGTCCCAGGTGGCTTCCATGGTCGCCGTCCTTCTCTTCATTTTGTCCTCACAACACCCCTGTGAGGTAGGTTCGCCTGGGAGTCAGGGAGCTTCGCTCCTGACGGGGTCCTCTGAGTTCCCAGCGCCTCCCTGCAGCCACCGAACACACTGGCTGTCACAACAATCACAACGTAGCCCATGCCGGGGTGGGTGTCTTTGCACCAGCATGGGGCTGATGGGAGTTGAAGTCCAAAGCATCTGGGTGGCACCAGGTTGGGGAAGTCTGATGTAGTACAAAGTTGGAACCAGTGGCAAGAGTGCAGGACTGGGGAGATCCGAGTGCGAGTCCCCACACAGCCATGGAGTGCACTGGGTACCTTTGGGCCAGCTCAGACTCTCAGCCCAGCCTACCTTGCAGGGCTGTTGTTGTGAAGATAAGGTTGTGAGGAGAATTGTGGAAGCCACTGAGATTTCCTTGGAAGGAAAAAAGGTGTGGTATAAATATAATAAATAGAAAGATGCCGCACACTAAACCTGCAGCACATCTCGCCCATCTGTAGGCGAGTGGCCGGTCCCCCTGGTGATGTGGGACGTTCGGATGTGCTCCTTCTGCAGGTTCAAGGACTTTGCGGAGCTGGAGCCGGAGAAGTTCCAGAACAAGACCAACGGCATCACGCCTCGGCGGTGGCTCTTGCTTTGCAACCCGGGCCTCGCCGAACTAATTGCGGAGGTAGGGGCGGGGAGGGGAGACGGGTGGCAAGGGGCTTCCTCCTCTTGAGCAAAGGAGGCTCAAGAGGCAGTTCGTTTCCAAGGCAAAGTAAGTCCCGATGTAACGCGGGCAGCAGATGGCAAAGTCGCCCGTCCCTCTCCCAGATAGCGAATCACTGTTTGTGGTGTTGCCTCTGGCAAAATAGGTTGGTAGGCTTTTTGGCTTCAAAAACCTGCCACGCCTATTGAACGAAAGGCGTGTTCCACAGGCATCGAGGGGGATGCCTCCCTCAAACCCTGGTTGAAATCTCTTCGAAAGCAATTCTTTGCCTCCGCCCTAAAAGGCCTTTTGAGGTTTGGTGCAGGGGATGCTGGAACCTACTGATCGATGGGGGCGGGGAGACCCAGAAGGCGGATCAGTGCCAGACCTCTGCCTTTTTCCTGTAGAAAATTGGTGAGGAGTACGTGAAGGACCTGAGTCAGTTGACAAAGCTGCACCGGTTTGTGAACGACGAACTCTTCATCCGGGAAGTGGCCAAAGTGAAGCAGGCAAGTGGGGGGAGTGGGGGCCGCGCACTGGCGGGGGATCCCCTGGGGGCGCCGGGCCGAGGGGGGCTGAGCCAGGGAGCCCCGCGTGGGCCCCGCCGGCAGCTCTCCACCCTGTTGCGACGCTCCCCTCCAGGCCGGAGCCGGCATCTGATGGCAGCGGGGGCAGCCTGGGGTGCTGCAGATGGCTTTGGACTACAGCCCCCATGCGCTTCAGCTGGCACGGCCCATGGCTGGAGATTGTGGGACCTGTAGTCTCTAGCATTTGCCCCTCCGGTTCTGCATGCCTCTTACCTTCCCAGGCAGCCCCCCAGGCAGCCCCCGGTGTGGGCACTGGCCGGCCTGGCGCGTCCCTGCTTCAGCCGGGGGCCTGGGTCAGGTGCCCACCATGGCTGCATCTCCATCTGCCTCGCAGGAGAACAAGGTCAAGTTTGCCCAGTTCCTGGAGAAGGAGTACAAGGTGAAGATCAACCCGGCGTCCATGTTCGACGTGCAGGTCAAGCGGATTCACGAGTACAAGCGGCAGCTCATGAACTGCCTGCACGTCATCACCATGTACAACCGTGAGTGGCCGCCGGGGTGGCCAGGCGCCCGACCCTGTGGCGGGGACTGGGTGGCCCTGCCGGTGCCGGTGGGCCACCTCCTTGCTGGCCCGTGGGGCGGGGAGGTAGCCCTGGGCCCTTCTCTGCCGTCTGTGGGCACGCTTTCCAGCCCCAGAGGAGCGCGCCCATGCGCAGCCTTTGCACACGCTCGGTGGGGAGGTTGCCGGGCGCCGGCCACACTGGAGTCCCCTGGCAGGGCCGGGTACCCTCCTCTGGGCCCTCTTTCAAAACCGGGACCCCAAAGGGGCAGCTGGAAAGGGCCCGGGCCTCCCCAGATCTCTGGCCTGCCCACCTGTGGGTCCCCGGGTCCAGCTCTGAAAATCGGAGTGGGCCGCGGGCAGAACGGAGAGCGGGAGACGGCTGGGGAGGTGTCCTGCGAGTGGAACCAAGCTGGGGTTGCTGGGAATGGCAGGCGTGAAGGGAGGGCCTGGAGCAGGGCTGGGCCCCCGCCGGCCCGCTGAGTCTCCGGGTCCCCCCACTCCCTTCCCCACCACCCTGCGGGGACGCTTGAGCCTTCCTCCAGCCGCGACAGCCGGAACCCTCTTCCGAGGCTTTGAGGAACGGCTGGATGGGCTTAGACGGGACCTGGCTCTGCTCTGCGGCCCAGGGCCTTGCCGCCCCAAAATGGGATTTGGGCCTCGGGCTGAAAGAGGGTCCCCACCCAGCAGGCCATTCATGGTCAGGCATCCGCCAAGGGTCCGTCCCCAACAGGGGGCTGCCGGCGAAACTCCCCGCCCCGTGCTTGGCCTCCTCTTCAGCATCGCAAGCCGATTGCTCACTTTCCCCCTGCCTGGGCTGCACAACCGTGGGGTGAGAAGCAGGAGGCGATCCCAGGGCCTGCCTGCCCCCTCCTTGGGACCGCGGAACCGGGTACCTGGACCGCCCGGAAGGATCCGGATGGACGGGGGCAATGACGTTCCTCTCTGCTCCACAGGCATCAAGCAGGACCCCATGAAGCTGTTTGTCCCCAGGACTGTGATCATCGGGGGCAAGGTGTGTGGGCGGCCGCACTCCCCTGGGGGGCAGGGGGGCACCCCAGGACCCTGAGCAGCATCATGGGGCATTGTGCAGCGGCCCCTTTCTGCTGGCCTGGGAAGGCTTTCCTTCCCGGGGTTGCCCTGCTTCCCCTGGCGGCCCCAGCCAGGCCAGCAGCAACGCTCTCAATGGCAAGCCAGGCAAAGAATGCCTTTTATCTGCCCCAAACCTCCTGGCCTTCGATGACTCAGGGCTCCCGTCCTTAGGAAGTGGAGTGCCAGAGCGGGGGGGGGGAGAGAACCCCCCCCTTCCTCCTCTATCTCCTCCACGGCACGCATCCTGCCAGCAGCTTCTCTTGCTCCCTGGGATCCCCTTTCCCACCCCCAAAACGGCACAGTCCAAGATGCTTCGGCTCTTCCTTGCTGAGAAGCTGCTGCGGCCAGTGGCCGGGGATGATGGTGGGGCCCCTCTCCCTGGGCAAAGAGGGCACGAGCCCCGGCAGGCTGGGGCAGGGAGAAAGCTCCGTGGACCAGAGAGTGGCTGGAGGCCACAGGCTTCCCGTCCCTGCCCGGGGGCAGGACCTGATGGCCTCTCCTGACTGCTCTGTGGCTCTGTGACGGGGAGGCTGCGGGGTGACGGCACGGTCTGTCCCCCTCCCAGGCGGCCCCCGGCTATCACATGGCCAAGCTGATCATCAAGCTGATCACTTCCGTGGGCCACGTGGTGAACAACGACCCCGTGGTCGGCAACAAGCTGAAGGTCATCTTCCTGGAAAACTACAGGGTCTCGCTGGCCGAGAAAGGTGAGGCGCTGTCCTCGGCTGCAGTCCGTACCGACGCCAGGGGACGTGGCAGCCGGCCGGGTGGGGATGTGCGCGGGACTCACTCTGGGGCGGGGGTCCGCCGCGTTCCCTGCGCACGAGAGGAAGTCTGCAAGCGGGAGGACGGCTTCCGGTTGCGATTCTGCCTGCGCCTCCTCGGACCGCTTCCTTCTGCCGCTCACTCTTCCCTTGGCTGGAAGCTGCTGCCTTGGCTGACCTGCCTCGGCGCTGCAGCGTCTCCGCCGGCTGGGCGCGTCCCCTGGCACAAGGTGGAGCGCCGCTTCCAGTGCAGGAAAGCCTCGGATGGTGTGGAATCCTCCCCCCACCCTCCTCCGGGCATTTTCACCATGCTTGCTAAGGTCAGCCCCGAGACTGCTTGCTTTGCAGCCCTGCAGCACCGGCACGTGAGGACGCAGTTCCCTGGGGCTTGGGGATGCTGGGATATGTAGTCCAACACATCCGTTGGCCTGGGGAGGCGACGCAGGCATGGGCCAAGCGTCAGAAAGGCCCTTTGCTTGCTGGTAGGCCCCAGGCCTGCATGCTAAAAGCCCGACCCTCAGCATCCCAAGAGCCCCTGGATGGGCGGGCAAGCCAAGCCCTTGCAGCGGCCCCGGGGCCAAATTTAATTTTAGAGACCGTCTTGGGCGGGGGGGGGGGCAAAATCCTGCGGTAGGGGGGCAAAGGCAGAAGGGGCAAGGCGAAATGCCAGCTTATTCTTCTTTAACGCCCCTCCTGACTGTGTCTCAGTCTTGGGAGCTGCATTTCGACCTCCTAGAATAGAGGGGAAAACCTCAAAGGCTGGGGAATCCAGCCAATGGTTGGCACTCGCAAGAGAAAACGGGGCACAAGGAAGGGGTGCAGCCCCCTCAGAATCCTGGGGCTCCATCTTTGCGCCATGGGTCGGGCTTCCCACCCCACCTTAGCATTTCCACGCTGTGCTGATTCTGGTGGTTATATCACGAAGCTAGTTCTCATGACATTTTAGCCACATGTAAGCCACAATACAATACAAATTGCTGTTAGTCATCGCAGTTCAGCACATGGAACTCTGAGAATCCCATAACCAGAACAGCAGATAGAGTACAGAATTGGCATCTCTTCCTGCTTATGAAAGTAAAAGTGCTGCGTGGGTTTTTTACAAAACCCACCATAAATGGCAAACCCATCGAAACAGTTTTTTCAACTGCTAGTGTTAAAACATCTGGTCATTCTCAACCAAAAATAGCCCCATTTCTCCTCCCAAAAGACCGGAAGCCAGGGAGCCGCACAGACCTCCCACGCAAGGGCATTCCAGACGTCTGAAGCCACAACCAAGAAGGCCCTGCTTCTTGTGGGAGCCAGTCTAGCCGTCCGTACTGAAGAGAAGCTGCGGTTGGGTCTACCTGCAGGGAGTGGAGGGGCCATGCTCTGCCGGACAGACTTCAGGGACATGGTCTGGCTCGGATGCGTCCTTGAAGGCAGCTTCCTTCCCCCCACACAAATCAGGAACTTGCCTTCCGAGAATGGATCCGCATGCAGGCGAAATGGCTTCATCCACACACACAGGAGCACCCCCTTCCCCAGAACAGCCTAGCGAGGACCAGTCTTCCTCAGGATGGAGGACAGCGGGAGTCTCCTGAAGGAGGGAGGGCTGTCTCTTGGGAACCCTGCATAGAAGCGCTCCGCGCCGCAACATTTTGTTGCAGACCCCGCTCGCACAATTGCCTGTCTTATTCTGCTGGGGGCTCGGCCTTCATGGGGCTCGCCGGCTGCCCTGAGCCCTGGGGACCAGGTGGCTCGAAGGCAGCCAACTAAGAGCACGTCCTCTTGGCAGTGATCCCAGCCACGGATCTGTCGGAGCAGATCTCCACGGCCGGCACCGAGGCCTCGGGCACGGGCAACATGAAGTTCATGCTCAACGGGGCGCTGACCATCGGGACCATGGACGGGGCCAACGTCGAGATGGCCGAGGAGGCTGGGGAAGAGAACCTCTTCATCTTTGGCATGCGGGTGGAGGATGTGGCCCAGCTGGACCGCCGCGGGTGAGCGCGCAGCAAGGCGAAGCCCCGCTGGCGCGGGAGCGGCACTGGGAGGTCGGAGGTTCCCCGTTTGCCACTGGAGCGGCTGCTTGGAGCAGGAATTGTGTGCGGTTGGATAGACAGGATGTCGGTGTTGCAACGCTAAGAACGTTCCCACGTGTCCCATTCACCCCAAACGCACCGAGAGTTCTGGAAATTAGGTCCTGAAAGAGGTGCCATGTACAGCTCCGTTATCCGGGGCGGTGCGCTGCGTGTGCCAGTCGCCAGGGAACATGGGCAGCGGAGTGCCATGGCCCTTGGAAACAGCATGCCGGACAGGATGGACCCTGGTTTGGTCCGAGGTGGGTGCTCTGGCGTGCACTTGAGATGCCACCAGAGCAGCTGCCTCCAAGGTCCATGAGAGCATCAGGCAGATTCACTGGCTCATCCACGTTTGCGCTCTCAGTGTGGACATGAATGCTGCGCCTATTGTGGTGTGGCCAGTATTGTCTTGCGCCCCTGCGTGGGATTCTTTGTCAGACAGGGTGGCATTAGCTGTGACATTGCGCCTGCCGGAATGGGAAATGCGCCTGGGTGGTGGAGAAGCTATAAATGGGCATCGGCGCGATACGGAGCCCGAGCTTCCGGGGCTGGGCAGTGTGCTGTGATCCCCCCAAGGCCACGCTCCGCGTCTCCTGTCTGCACAGGCCTCTTGGGGAAGGGGAGGGGAGGTCGTGATCCTGCCGCCCGAGGCCTAGGAGAAGAGCCGCTTTTCTGAATGCTGTGTGGACGTTCAGCGTTCTGCATGCTCCGTCTGGCTGGCTGCCAAGGCTTGGAGAAAAGGAGCATCAAGAGGGAAGGCTGAGGGAATTTGACTGAAAGGCACCTGAAGTTTAGGCAGGTGAAGAGCGTCAGGAGACAGGAAGGGGGGTGTCTGTGTGAATCCACACCCCTCCCACGAAAAGGCAAGGCTTAGTCTATAATCACACTTCATTATCGTTAGCAGCCGGTCTTCCTGACCTTGCGCAATTCGGGACAGTTTAATTCAGTGGACGGTGGACCAGTGCCCACCCCTTCCGAGTCGGTACCCCTGGGCACCGCCTCTGCCCCCACCCTGGGAGAACTTGACCCCTCCATTCCCCTGAAGGGGAGTTGCCCCACGGGAGGGCGGTTCGGCCGCAGAACCCGTGTGCCGTTATCTCGGGGGCCACACCCTCGTGGTGACAGTCCCCAGAGCAAAAGGTTTGGCGGTCCCTGCAGGGTGACCCCTTTGGCACCAGGCCGAGGCTGTGCTTTCCTCCGGGCACTTTACAGGCTTACCCTAGATTTTTATGGCTTTTTAATTCACTCTTGTGCTGGGTTTGTATGGTTTTTTCCAAACTTCTGGGATATTTTTAACCATTTATATGCCATTTGAATGGTCTTAACTGTTTATAAATGGAGAGCATAGGTTCGGATAATAAACCAATTTTAAAACCTAAATTCAGCATGAAACAAAGGGCGCGCCTCTTAACGATGACGAAATCGCTGGGTGCCTCGGTGACTCTGAAACCCACATGACGTGTGAGCCGGTCGTATAATCCACCTCGGCACCGGTCTGTCGGTACCGAAATGGGAAGCAGCGGTGGTCTTAAGCGCGCGACGTGACACGTCTCTCTCCCCTTTGCAACAGCTACCACGCCCAGGAATATTACGACCGGCTGCCGGAGCTGAAGCAGGCCATCGATCAGATCCGGAGTGGCTTCTTTTCGCCCAAAGAACCCGACCTCTTCAGAGATCTCGTCAACATGTTGTTCCACCATGACAGGTGAGCGGGAGGCGGCTCGCAGCTCATGCTGCCGACGGCTCGGGCCCGGGAGGGATGGGGTGCCCCCTTGGTTACGCCCGGTGCCACCCCGACAGGGTCGGTTTCCCGGGCCCGCCTGGCTCTGCCGAAGTCCAGACTGCGAAGTGGGCTCTTCCGGGTGGCGAGCTTCCCCTTCCTTGCAACACGACGGCGCTCAGTGGTGCCGCCGAGCGAGGGACAGCTGTGGGGTGCAGCTCTGGGGGCCAGGAGGCCAGGCTGTGCAGGCCCCGGGCTCCATGGGTGGGGCTGCCAGCCACGAGGTGCGCATGCACCCACCCTGCCCACATGGCTCAGGTTCGCAGGCCTGCCCCCCACCCCCATGAGGAGAGGCTCTGAGCTGAGGACAAGATGCTCCAGAGCAGGGCTCTCCCACGTTTTGGCTTCTCTGGGCCACACTGGAAGAATCGTCTTGGGCCGCACATTAAGTACGCAAACACTAACATAACCTGATGAGCAAAATAAATGACCTGCGCATAATTTTTGTGGTTTCTGCTACCACCGTGTGTACAAATAGTGAGAGCATACATACATTTATTTTATGGGACATTGCAACGTGATGTTGTCATCTACGAAGTTCACGCTTGAGAACTGTAGGATCGAGTTACCAAAAATATCTCCAAAAAATCTCAATGTTTTGAGTAAGTTTACAATTTTATGTTGGGCTGCAGGTTGGACAGCCCTGCTCTAGAGAGACTGTGGCTGTGGGCTGAAAAAAGGGCATTCATCACAGCATGGCTATCTAGGTGTTCCTTGCCTGATGCTCTCCAGATGTGCTGGATGAGAACTCCCAGAATCCCCCACCCAGCAGGCTGGGGGATTCTGGGAGTTCTCATCCAACTCAACTGGAAGGCACCTGGCTAGGGAAGATTGGCCTCCTCTTTTGACTTCCCAGTAGCATGTGGACTTGATGGCCTAATTTTCCGAGTGACTAGTTGTTGAGGATCTGGTATTTCAGGCAATCTGTTGCGCGTGACCCTCCCAGCTCTCGGGGCCTTCGGTACTTGGTGCCCCACCCTATTCCCCCACCCCCACGGGGCCTTCCTGTTGTCTCCAAACAGATTCAAAGTCTTTGCGGACTACGAAGCGTACGTCAAGTGTCAGGAGAGCGTCAGCCAGCTCTACATGGTAAGCCACGTGTGCAGAGCACCTTCGGAAGCTGCGAACTCTTTCCTCCCCCTCTGCTTCCCCTGTTTCATTTCTGCACAGCCCCACAGCCAAGATTCTCTTTCACAAACTCAACTCTCATTTCTCCCTCACCTGTCCCATAGCTTCCAGCCTTCTTCCCTTGTTTGGTTCTTGCAACACCCTGTATTTTCTGCACAGGTGTTCTCTTCCTCCTTTGGCATCCTCCTCTGGAAGAACACCAAAGGGGTTCCCAAAACTCTGGGGACAGTACGCACATCTGGACTTTTGCCTGGAGGTCCTGGGTGCTTCCCAAAGGTGGCCCACCATTCCCAGCATTTCCCAGAGAGCATATGCGGGGAGACACAGTCGGGCACCTGCAGAGAGCACCGGACTAGGGCATTCTGGGAGACCGAGGGCAAAATGCAAGAGCCACCTGGAAACACGGAGGTCCGGGGGCTTCCCAAAATGGCCGCCCTGGAGGGTGGGACATTCCCCTCTTCAGGAAGGGCCACTGAGGCAGGCGCAACCAGTTCCCAAGTGCCCGCTCCACGCCCAAAAACACAACCAAAAGACCTGAGGGAACGCGCACGTGCCAGGGAACGGCACGCCAAAGTGTGCGTCCCAAAGTCAATGAAGCCTGGGTCACGCCGTGAGGAACCGGCTGTGTGCACGCAGGCACACTTCCTATGATCAGGGGGCGGCCTCTGTGCCGGACACTCCTTCCTGACCACCACAACTGGCTGGCCCGGCACGCTTCCGACCTACACGGGGGGCTGCGGCCCTGGCCGTTTCGGCTTTCTCAGGACACTTCTGGGACCTACGTGAGGGGCAGAGATGCTCTTAGAAATAAAGATGGCAGCCACAGAAACAGAGCAATCCAGAAGGGCCGTCTAGTCTGACCCCCGCTCCAGGCGGCTCCGCTCACAACGTGCCCACCGTGTGCACGTCCAGCCTGTCCTTGAACACCCGCCCCGATGGGGCTTCAAACACCTCCTGAGAAAGCCCATCCTACACCCTCGGGGTCCCAACCATCATGAAGTGCTTCCTGGCATCCAGATTGAACCTTGGTTCCCCGAGCTTTGCTCCGTTGGAGCACATCCTGCCCTCCTCAGCAGGGGAGAACAGGTCTCTCCCCACCTCCGTGTGATGCCCCCTCACGTACCTTTATACCACCTATATGTCACCAACCGGTGCTTCATCAAAGGGAATCCTATCCTGTTCCACTTTTTAATTTTACAAAAACATCTTTAATGAGCAAGGGAGCATTCTGGACAAGGAAGGGGTCTCTGGGTACCTCCCTGAAGACCCCAAATAAAAAAGCTGTCTCAAAGCTCCCCTCCCCTAAAAGGCTTGGGGCGACTTGGGGCGGCCACACGCAGTCGGTTAAGGGTTGCCCAAGACTTGGCCTTTAGGGTTGGTTCTTTCCGTGACAGAACTCAAGGGAATGGACCAAAATGGTGATCCGGAACATCGCTGCCTCTGGGAAGTTCTCTAGCGACAGGACCATCAAGGAGTACGCCCGGGACATCTGGAACATGGAACCTTCCGACCTGAAGATCCCGCCACCCAACGTGCCCCGGGATGTTGCTGACGAGGTGCTGGCCAACGACATGACCGAGAAGATGCATGTGTGAACCTGACGCTTAGCTTGACCTGTGTGGGGTGGGCCATCTCGGTTCCATAGAATAACCGTAGTAAAAGTAATGGGCTCTTTTATTCTTTTCCACTCTAAGCATTGAGGGCGATCTGTGTAACCTTGAGAATTTTGCAGAAGGGAAGACAAGCCAAGGTGCTTTTCTGCCGCGCATTTAAATGTCACGACTTCCTCCTCGCTGTAGGAAGCACAGTCCTGTGACGCACGGGGGCCTCCTCTAATGCGTTAATACTCTTGCAAAACCAATTTCTGTGATCCCTGGAGGGCGGGCGCCATGAACTCTCTTACAGATCTGTAGTGTAGACACAGCCCTGGCTAAATCCCACTTGTAGCAAGCACAGCGAAAAGTGCCAAGGGCAAGATCAAGTCATTTGGGGGTTGGTGTTTCTAAAGACGGAAAACCAAGCGCATTGGCCCGATCTTCTCTCTTTTAAAAGATAACAGCACCAGTTTTCTGGGAGGTGCTAAGAACATGGGCAAAGAGACTTAAGGATCCTGCCGTGGCCATTTTGGGGGTCAAGCATGAAGATTTATCATCTGCTCCAGCTAGCCAGACCAAAGTGCTTTCAGAGATCCTTGTGGGATTGAAAGGTGCTACGTGGCTGCTGTCCCATGGTGCCAGAATAATTTTTTTTAAGGAAGCTACTCCTGTGAGCTGTTCCCAACCTGGGGCCCTCCAGATGTGCCAGACTACAACTCCCACCATCCCCAGCCAGGCCATGCTGGTTGGGGCTGGAATCCAGGTTGGGAAAGGCTGCCCTCCATGTTCAAAGCAGCCATGTAACGGCTGTACGTGTGCGCCTAGGAAACCACTAAGAAGGAAACATGTGCTCTGCTCAGTTCATGCCTAAAATAAGCCACATGTAGGCGCTTCTAGCTCAAAGCAGAATCTTTCGCGAGGCTTGGAAGCTCCTGTATTCTCACCTCCCCGCTGCGCGTTTGTCAAGTCCCGAAATCCACACAGTAAAATCAAGCGAGACCCGTGTGAGCGTCTTTTTCACCAGTGACTTTATTATCCGTGGCAAGTCAGTCCGGAAGCAGTGGGAGCTCTCTGTGCAGGGGGCGGGGGTCTCGGCGTCATGGGAGGGGGGCCTTCTGCCGCTGCTGTCACTGGATGCTCTCCAGGAAACCTCTGTGGGGATTGGGAGGCAGACAGGTGGCTTAAAATCGGACCGCCTGGAACCAGCCAGGAACTGCCCATCTGCTCAAGCTGCTGGCTGCCCCAGGGCCGGCACTTTGCCCTGACTGAATCCAGAACTACCTGCATCCCACCTGCACCGGCAGTAAATGTGGGCCGGGTGCTTGCATTTGCACCTGCTGGAGTTGCTCTTACGGTATAAGTGCAGAACTGCAGGTTCAGAACCATCTTGGCAACCGGGGGCCAAGCTCTTTCGGGTTCCCCAGGCGCTTGTCCCCTTCTCACAACCATTTTGTTTTGCGCTTTCCTGGCTTTTGCAAAGCCTTTTCCCTGTTCCAGAAGTTGGATGCATCTCCTAAGGCCTGTCACTGGTGAGAAGTGCTTTAAGCTAACACAGGCTGGGGTTTGTGCCTGGCTCCTCTTTGCTGATGGCTGGGCCTACACCTGGAATGCAGCTCCAAGAACCTCCCCGAAAGGGAACTGGGCTTGAAGAGCTGCGACAGCCCTGCAGTGCGTCACCCACCTGGCAGGACTTTGCTCCGGTGCCCTCACACCGGCTGACACTCACCTGGCTGGCCCAGCAGGGACCTGCCCTGGCACACCTGTGTACTTTGGCAGGATCCGCTCAGCTGTGGTTGCCAAAAGGTCGGCGGATTTCACCGTGTCCCACCAAGTGCTGGAAGCAAAGCAAATTCTGCTTCCCCCCTTAAGCAACCCAAATACGAGCTGGAAAGGCTGTGGCTTCCCTTAGGGGCGACCCAAGAGCTGAGCAGGGCAGGATATTTTGGAGAATTGTCATTCGCGGGGTTGCCGCAACTCGGAATCAACATAATGGGATGGCCCTTGCGTGTCCACCTCCTCTCACTCTGGCCCAGACAACCCAGTGGAGTCCCAACGGAAGCCCAGCAGGTGCCGAGGTCTCCGAAGCCCCGGGCCCCGTCTGCCCAGCGAGGGAGTGCCGAGAACCCCAACCTGGCACTCACACGGGGCCCCTCCGAGCTCTGGGGAAGCGGGCAGGTGCAACCGTCCTGGGCCATGCAGGCTCCCTTGGTTTCACCTCTTTCGCTGCCCCTCGAGACCCTGCCTTCTCCCCCTCCCAACAGGTTTACCAGCCGGGTCTGTCCCTTGACCGGAAGGGTGGGCAATGGCCCCTGGCCCATTCTCCCCTCCCCTCGCCCCGGCCTTTGGAAGGGGCACCAGAGGCTGAGCCGTGCCTACTTCAGAATGGAGGGGAGGTCCGGATGAGAGGAGATGTGGTCATGTCCAAAGCCCAGTTCAGGAGGGAAGGAGATAAACTTGATGTTCTCTTTCTTCGTGGAGGCATTGTAGGCCATCTCAAAGAGCTGTGTACATGTGGGGAGAACAGAAAGGCCTGAAACGCCGGCCCTTGGGCCTTAAGCAGGCTTCCCAGTGCCCCACCAAGCCCAGAAACGCCCCACGGATGGCCTGCCTGGCATCTCTGGGGGAAACGGGGCCCACTGCCTGCTCAGAGGTGCTTTCTAGCCAGGCCACATGCCGAGTGGCCTGAGAGTTTCCATCTCCGAATCGGTGGGAGGGGAGCAAGAAGGTTCCTCAAAGGTCAACCCTGGAGCATTTTCCGTGCATCCTCGACTATCAGTGCAGGGACCTGACGCCCTGACCAACCTGTTTTGCCTCTGGGGGATAAGAGCATCAAAGGACAAGGGCCCCTCCTGAGCCAGGGCTCTGTTTCAGCACTGCTTTTGCAAGATCCTTGTGCCATGAGTTCGCCAAACCCCCCTTCTACGGACATCTGCACAAGCGTGCAGTGCGGAGCCCCATCCGGAAGTGGCTGGGTTGCGGAGAAGTCAAAGCAGGTGGCCGAAGCACAGCTCCAGCGGAGCTTCTCCGTGATGGACGGCTCTCTCGGGCTCGCCACTGTACCATTCGTTCGGAGCTGCTCATCTAGGGTGAGGAGGAGGGATCATCCAGGCGACCAAACAGGCAGCTTTGCAAATGGGGACGCAACTGTTCCTGCCCTTTCGGTGCCGAAAGAAGCCGCAGTGGTGGGCACATGGGCTGATAGGCTTTCAAGCACCTTTCCATGGAAGCATGAAAGGCCACTGGGTGTAGTGTGGGAAACCAACGCGTCCCAGTGAGGTAAGCAGGTAGCGGAAGGGATGCTCCGTCCATTCCCAGTAATTCCCTGTCTTCCTTTTAAAGAGGCACCTCAAAGCAGGAACAGGGCTCAGCTACCTTTCTTCCCAGGTGGACAGGGATGACCATGTCGTCTTCCGAGTGCAAGATCAAGAACGGATTGGACAGCACCTTAACACTGTGAACGGAAAAAAGCAGGACTTTGGACCAAGGGCTGTGCTTGGCCTGCCTTTATCCTGCTTTTCAGCCCCCACCTCCCAATACGGCTCAGGGCAAGAAAGGCTCGGTTTGTCAGCACATTAAAGAAATCCCGGGCCAGTTTGGGGGTGACGCTCTGCGCATTTAGACGGAAGAAGAGGCCGAAAGCTCCTGGCAGGTCAGGAGAGTCTGTCTCCATGTCCCTCTCAACATGGGAAGGGGAAACGCACGTCGGCAGGGTCGCCTCGCTGCTTCCCATCTGCACACCCCAACGGTGGGTATGCCGGGCCACGCCTGGGCAAGGGGCTCCAGCTCCTGGGAAGCCTGCGGAAGCTGGATTTATGGCTGGAAGGGAGGGTGGCGCATGGGGGGTGGAAGGAAGCAGCCCTGGGACAGCCGGCCCCTGAGAGGAGCCGGGGTGCTGGGAAGGACGGGGCAGCCGCCCTGCGGGGCCCCTCTTGCGGCCTGCACTGGCACGGGCCCATCAAGGCTTGGCTGCCTCCAGGAGAAGGGGGGCAGAAAGGTCCGAGCCTCGCAGGTGCTGGCGGGACACTCGTACGCCCGTTTCTTGCGCGGCACGGTTGTCCCTGCCCAGACCGTCGCTGCACATTTGCACCTTGACCAAGCCATCCTGGGCATGTCTACTCGGAAGCAAGTCGCATTACTTTGAGGGAGACGCTCTGTCGCCGCCTTGCAGACTGAAAGGTTGGGTAAGACCACCGAGCGGCGGGAATAACGGGGTGAGCGTGCCTCCATCTCGGCTCCGGCAAGGCAGTGGCCCAAACCCTGGCCCGGATCCACTATGGGGCACAGCGGGGCAGAGTACCCGCTCTCCTCTAGAGCAAGAAGCGTCTGTCGTGCTGCTATTGCGCAGCCGGGAAATAAAACGGAGCGTGATGCGGGCCAAGGAGGCCCCAGGTCAAGAGCAGGACTCGCTCGCACGCTTTTGCACGCGCCAGACTCACTTTTTGTCGTTGGGAAAGTGCATGTCCGCTCGCGCCATGGTGTCTAGGATTAAATACTCGAAGCCGGGGAACTTGCGGTAGATCTGGTGCAGGGAAAGAGAGCCTCGCGTGAGAAGCCGCCGGGCGAGACCGAGCGACTGGAAGCGCGGACAGTTTCCATGGCTGGAAATTCCTTGGCCTGTGGCGAGCCAAAGGCCCACATTGTTCCCTGAACCATAAATATACATGCCAAAGCATTAAGAGGCCCCAAATAGAATCCCTTTGTTTTCTTGGCTTTCCTTTTTCCGAAGATTGCTGAATTTCAGAGGGAGGTGAAAGTGCAAACTTCTGTGCCAAGAAAGAAGTTCCACTCGTGGTGTTCCAGTAACCCAGTGCCCTCCAGGTGCTTTGAACTACAACGCCCATAAGCCCAAGACAGCTGGGAACTGTAGTCCAAACATCGGGAGGGCGTGGTTGACTACTCTGCTCCACGCATTTTCTCTGGCGCACGCGCACGCGCACAGCCTGAAGTCAGTTCTCCGCATGCACTCCAGAAGGTCCCCGCAGAGCTCGAGTAAGTGAGCCACGCCACTTCATGTGGTTCTCGGGGGCACTCAAAACGCTGCCACATGCTGCGGCTCGAGCCAGACCTACTTTGGTGATGGGGATATTGGCTGCTGCCTCCCGGATGTTTGTGTAAGGCGCCTCCAGGACGATGGCGTCCAGAACAGTCCCATCTGTGGGGGGGGAGGCAAGAGGATTAGAATGGGAGGCACCCGAGCGAGGCGCAAGGCCAAAGCCCTGGCGTGGGGCGGGCTGCTTCCTTTGTGCTTCAGGAGACCGCAGAAGCAGACCTCGGGGCGGGGGGGGGGGGGGGGGGCCAGCCTCCACCGTGCGTCCGGGCCTAGCCCCTGGCAGGGGCCGAAAGTTCTGCGGGGGGGCAGAAGGAGCCTTCCCCTCTGCCATCAGCGAGCGCCCATTCACAAAACCTTGATGGCGCTGAGCCGATCTGCCCAGAATCGGAGCCGGCTCCCCCTCCAGGCGGGGTGGGGGGTCCGCCGTTCCACGGCTTCTTGCCAGGCCCTCCCTCAAGAAAGGCTGGGAGTCCCCACACATTCACTGACATGGGTGGGGGTCCCCCGCAGGCCCTCCCCATGGCGTTCCCCTTCACACATCACAAGGGGAGCGGAGGGATCCCTCCCCTGGTTTGGGCCCAGCGCCAGCAGGCGGGACCCCCTGGAGAAGACCCTCCTGCTGGGTGAAGTCGAAGGCAGGGGAGGAGGAAAGCCAGCTAGGAGAGGGGTCGACTCCATCGGGGAGGCCGCAGCCGGGAGCTGAGCGGGGCTGTGACGGACAAGGCGGTTCAGAAGGTGCTCATTGCAAGGGTCGCCCTGAGCTGCAGGTGGCTGGACGGCAGGTCACAACAGCACAGGTAACGGGGGAGACCGAAAAATTCAAACAGCCCCCTCCAAAGGGGCCTTACCTTTTTTCTTCAGCTTCATAGCCGTGTTGGTGGAAATTCTATGGGGAAAAAGGACAGACAGGCACTCTCAGGGACAAAGGGAACTTTCTGAAGGAATCTGTTGTTCTCACCTAGTACTAAACCTTAGTCCGGCTTTGGGTGGGCTTCTGTGATGGACGAGTCCTGCCTTCCAAACGGAAACTCCACAACCTGATGACCCCAAAGGAGCACCGCAGGGAGAAAGTTAGACTGAGGCTTTTCCCTGACACACTGCCTTTCTACATGCAGGGACCAAGGGAACAAGTGCCTGATTTTCCCATCCCATGAGCCTCAAGCTGTGAATTCTACCAACGCCATAAAAATGAGGGCATTTGGGTGGAATGCATATTTACAGCTTTCTTGTAATCGACTGTTACACAATGCCCCTGGATGACTGAGCAAGTCAAGCGAAGGCATCGATCAAAAGATAACAGCACTGATCATTAAGCTGTTAAAAACCGCCCTGAAATCACCAGTTTGCTTGGTCTGCGCTTTCCCCGCACAAAATGAGGATAAAATCTTTCATCTTCAAAAATATTGCACGGAATCAGTCCGGTAGCGAGAAAGCATGTGGGCAGCTCGGATCACTCAATGTACAAGGGGGTCTTCGAAAAGTTTCTGCACTTTTATATTTTATGAGTATATTTTATATATTTTTTGCTGATGGCATTAAAACGTTGGTACGATGCTGGGAAAATGCATCGCAAAGGAAGGTGACGATGTAGAAATTTGTTTTTGAAATTCTTAATAAGAGTTTTTAAAAGTGTGGAAATTTTTCAAAGACCTCTTGTACAATCACACTGGAGCAGGGACTTCACACTGGTTCTTGCACTGGCCTGCCTCGCAGGCATGTTGTAAAGACGACTAGTGTACTAACATATGTGGAGTTATGTTAACTTCTCTCAGAAGTACCAGAATTTTCTCTCTCTTCCTTTCCGGGCATTTTTATCTGGTGTTCTGTTTTAAAAAGGTACTCGACACAGCTAAGAAAACGCACAAGATACAGCACATTAACCAACAAAACACCTAAAAGGATAAATTTTTATCCTTTTGGACCAAACCAGAGTTTGGAATATTGTCACAACAGAAAAGCCTTTTAAAAGCCCCTTAATGCAGTCTAGTCGTCTCCACATGGAGGCTTCCGGGTGTGCTGAGCTATCGTTCCCCAAACGGTACCATGAGCTGGTCCCAAATCACAGAATCAAAGAACAGTGGGGTTGGAAGGTGCCAGGAAGCCCACTGGGTTGAACCCGCTGCTCAGTGCAGGACTCCAATTCAAATATCGCTGACAGGTGCCTGTCCAACTGCCTCCAGGATGGGAGAGCCCCCCAGGCACCAAGGCCACCGGCGGCTTTGCCATCCTGCTTGAAGAATGAGGAAGTTTTTCCCGATGTCCAGCTGGAATCTGGCTTCCTGCCACTTGAGCTCATCATTCTGAACATGAGCCAGCGGCGTGATGCAGTGGTTAAGAAGGCAAACACCATCCTTGGGTATATAGCAGAAGCGTGGCTTCCAGGTCTAGGGAGGTGTTGCTTCTGCTCTACACAACTCTGGCGCACCCACAACTGGAGTACTGCATCCAGTTCTGAGCTCCACATTACAGGAGAGACAGAGCTAGGTTGGAATCGGCTCAGCGCAGGGGCACAGGAGTGGAAGCCGGGTTGGGAGGGGTGGCATAGGAGGAGAGATGGGGGAACGGGGTCTTTTTGGCCTGGAGGAGAGGAGACCAAGGGGATCTTTTAGCGTCTTAGAGGTATGTAAGGGGGTGTCACGTGGAGGAGGACCACGAGCCGTTCTCCCCTGCAGTGGAGGGCAGGGCGCTTTCCAGTGGGGCAAAGCTCGAGGAACCAGGCTTCAGCTTGGATGTCAGGAAGTACTTCCTGATGGTCAGGACCCCAAGGGTATGGAATGGGCTTCCACAGGGGGTGGTGGAGGCCCCACCAGTGAGGGTGCGCAAGGAAAGTTTGGACAACCACAGGTTGGGGATTGCATGACTGCAGCCGGCTGGAGCCAGAGGTCAGTCTAGATGCCCCACGAACCCCCTTCTGACTCACTGTGTTTCGTGTTCCTTTTCTAGGCTAGTCAGTCTAAATGCACCTTGCAGGCCTCACGGGACAAGAAAGGTCAAGCGTACCCCGTGCCCAGGGAGTGCCCCCACAGGACGACGGTGCTGCTCCCGCTCCGCTCCTTCACCCAGTCGTAAACACACAGAATGTCCTTCGTGAAGCCGTCCTCACTTGGCTCCCCCGTGGAGTCCGCGTAGCCTGCGGGGGGGGGGGGGCATCAGATCGCGCATTAGAGGAGCCCCCGATCACGTCACCCAAGACCTGGACAGGAGTTCTGCGTGGGAACCTACCTCTGTAGTCAACAGCGACCACGTGAAAGCCACCTTCGCTCATCACCTGTTGAACAGATCAGCCTGCGTTAAGCACGCTTCAGAGAGGAGGCTTTATTTTCAAGGATGCTGCAACCCACGTTTATTGCCTCGTAAACTCTTCAAGCACGTCCGCGCGATCTGGGGCTCCCAAGGATGCCGCATGCCGCCCAACGGTGGGGAAGAACCTTCCTCCGCTGCGGGAGTCGACACCAAAGAGGCCGCGAGGGAGGTGCCAAGGAAGGCATCCCGGGGGGCTTTTCCCCGCTGGGCAGCACCCAAAGGGCCGGAAAGGTTCCCATCTCCGCTCACTAAGTCGGCTGAGAAGGGCAGATTGGCAGCACAAGAAAGGGAATCAGGCACACCCAGTTACCAGCCTGGCTGAAAGCTGGCGCCAAGCTCAGCAGCCACCTGCTGCTTTCCGGCACGCCACAATAGCGCCAGCACACAGAAGAGGCCGCGAGAGCAGCGCATGCTGGGGAGGGGGGCAAAAGATCTTCCCCAGGGTCTGGGGAGCATTTACCTTTATGAATTTAACTCTGTGACTTGTTGCCCTGTAAGAGAGTACAGAAATTAGGTGCCTCTGGATTGGTGCCTCTGGATGGAGCCGCTAAGGGAACAGGAAGAGCTGCAGGCCGTTTTTCTCCACCAGGTACACATCCAATCTATATATTTGGGGGTTTCCAAACCAGGTCCACCGCTCTGAAATGTTCCCCCTTCCTCCACCCTTTCCGGATACAGCTCTGCATGCAAGCTTTTTCTTTTGAGCCAGGAAATATCTGAAGAATCATAAATTATAATTGTGTCGAGGCGAGTCAAGACAGTGAGAGAGAGAGAGAGAGAGAGTGTTGGGGGGGGACACCAGCTTTGCTCCTCCTTTGGATTTGCAAAGCCCTAACAGAGCAAGGCTCACCTGGTACCCCCGTTGCCATGGAGATAGATGATGATGGGATTAGCATCCGAGAGGGCCTCTTCGTGCCAGCTGAGGTCCTTCCCCTCCGATTCCTTCCATCTGTTGTGCGGAAGAGCATGCCTGTGAAAGAAGCGAGGGCAGTGGTCACGGCTCCTCCAGAAGCCGGGGCTCCACTGCGGATGCCGAAGAGTCTGGCTGCATCTGCCAGCATCAATGAACGAGCAAAGCCCCAGAGAAACCGGCTGTTTACAATCCAGGCTGGCACAGAGGCACTCCCACGCAGAGGCGAGCAGGTCCGAGAGCAAGCCTGCCCCAGCCACCCTGCCCCTTCACCCTATGGGTCCCAGTGCCCAGCCCTGAACCCGAGCGAGCCTCCCAGCAAGACGTGTGCACCCGGAATCCCACACCAAGGCAGAGTCGGGACCATGCAAGACAGATGCGGCCGACAGCCGCCGGCTCACCAAACGCCAAAGGTGACCCCTGGTTCAGAGGTGAGATAGAAGTTGACAGTGTGATTCAAATAGATGCCAGGGTTCTGGAAATCTGCCCACAAGGGAACCACCACTGCAAGAGAAATGCAGGGAGACGTCTGCTTCCTGGGAAGGACTGTCACAGAAACACAGAAGCAGAGCGAGCCAGGAGGGGTCCCCGGGCCATCTAGTCTGACCCCGGCTCCAGCCGGCTCTGCCCATAGAAACACAGAAGCAGAGCGAGCCAGGAGGGGCCTCCCGGGCCATCTAGTCTGACCCCGGCTCCAGCCAGCTCTGCTCATAGAAACACAGAGGCAGAGCAAGGCAGAAGGGGTCCCCGGGCCATCTAGTCTGACCCCGGCTCCAGCCAGCTCTGCTCATAGAAACACAGAGGCAGAGCAAGGCAGAAGGGGTCCCCGGGCCATCTAGTCTGACCCCAGCTCCAGCCGGCTCCGCTCATGACATGCCCGCCATGTGCACGTCCAGCCTGTCCTTGAACAAGATCAGTGGCATCACTGGTGTCAAGTGAGCACCTGAACCTGGGAGCCAGCCTTGCACGGAGTCAGGCCTTGCTCTGTCACTCTGGTCACCATGGACTGGCCAGCAGTGGCTCTCTGGGGCATATTATATTATATTATTTAAAACTTTTGTAGACCGTCCCATTACTGAAGTCTTGGGATGGTTTAACAATACAAAATGTAAAGAAAAAATAATTTAAACACAGCGTCCTAAAATTGAGCAAAAATAACACCCCAATTAAAACACTCAGGTCTTAAAACATTGGGAAAATAAAAAGGGTTTGGCCTGGCGCTGAAAAGAATAAAGTGATGGCGTCAGGCAAGTCTCTCTGAGGAGCACATTCCACAATCGGGGTGCCACCACAGAGAAGGCCCTTTTCTGGGTCATCACCCTCCTGCTCTCCTTCAGGGAGGGCAGAGAAGGGCGTCTGCCCCAGATTTTAAGGGGTGGGCAGGCGCATATGGGAGGAGACGCTCCTATTAAATTTCTGTGCTGCCCATCAGCCCAAAGGCTGTCTGGCCAGAGAAGAATTTTCTCTGCCAGCCCTGCCTTGGCCTCACACGCGGGCCCTGCCATCAGACACACACCATGCAAGTCTACGCGCGTGCAGACAGGAAAACATCTGAACCAGGCAAAATGCAGGTGATACGATACCAAAATACCACCCAGAAGAGCAAACCAACCGCCACCGTTTGTGCATCCAATCATTCACTTAAACTTTTAAAAAGATGACCTCAGTGCAGAAGCTGCACTGGAACAAGCCACGATGTTTATAAGGGCAGCGCAGCTGGGCTGGGACTTCATCCAAGTTTCTGCACCGAAATGTTGGTTTGTTCCTGCCTCGGCTCTTTAGCAGTATTGCAATGTACTCCATTGCAACAGGAATTGATGGTTATGCCAATCCATGTTGCATTTTAAAATGTCTCTCTGTAGGAATTTTTAAAACCTATTACAATACTTTTAAAAGTTAGCACTTATAAAGGATTCTTTGAACAGTCGAATGGCATAAAAGAGGGACAGACGTGGGTCCAGGATCGGTGAGTGACTAACTTATGGAGTATCACAAGCTAACAGGGATTTTAATACTCCAGTGAAAGGCCAACAGCAGGTAAGCAAACGGAGTACTTACAAAAATTGAGATAGACAAACTTTCGTAACAGCGAAGGAAATATTCGGATCAGGAAGGGCACAGAGACGTACATAATTAAGACATTCAGTAGGAGCATCTTGATTGCTTTTATCTGAAGCCATCTCAGAAATTCCCTGAAAGAAAAGGAGATGCCGTCTAATGCGGGACTGGCATTAGTTTTGGTTTTGCTCTTTATTGTGTTGTCAGTTGTTTGCTTGACCATTGGCTTATTTGGGATGCCTTTCCTTAAGCTTTTCTTACAACTTTTGTGCAAGGTAGGCCAGCATGAATATCGCCAGAAAGAAAATGAAAAGGCTGAGCTCAAACATGCATCTGGCAGAGGCGAGCTTGGAGCCGAAGACTTCCTCGTGTGCAATTCAGCCTTTGGGCCACTGGGCTTGGTTAGCCCCAAGTCAAACAAGACACCAGGTACCAAAAAAGCAAACCGAACACCCACACAATTCGCACCATCCACTTTCCATTCCACTCTGAGCATATCTATACTGTACATTGGGCTCTGTGCACATAATCCTTCTGACGATCCCGTAAGGGAGGCCAATAAAATGATGTTCCACAACCTGTTTACCAAGTTGCAGCCGCCAAGTCTCCCAACTCAGTGCCTGAAATACAAGACCTGGATTCTTGCAATCATGAGTGAAACGTTCCCACACCAGCTAAGGAGAAAAATATCTCTAAACATTTCCCTTTTATTAAAAAAGCAAGGAGGAGAGAGAGGAGGTTTTTCACAACGTGCTCATCTCCACAATCAAAAAAGCCCCCCTTCACCTGGGTAACCATAGTGACTTGGTGAAACATAGAAACAGAGCGAGTCAGAAGGGGCCTCCGAGGCCATCTAGTCTGACCCCTGGCTCCAGCCAGCTCCGCTCACGACATGCCTACCATGTGCATGTTTAGCCTATCCTTGAACACCCTCACTGGTGGGGCCTCAATGACCTCCTGTGGAAGCCCATTCCATGACCTAGGGTCCTAACCGTCAGGAAGCGCTTCCTGGCGTCCAGCTTGAATCTTGGCTCCCTGAGCTTTGCTCATTGGAGCACATCCTGCCCTCCACTGCAGGGCAAACGGTCATGACCCACCTCTGCGTGGCACCCCCTCATGTACCTGTATGCCACCAACAGCCCTTGCTGAAGGGGGCTGAGAGAGAGAGTCCCCCCTCCCCTTCTCAGGGGAACCTAAAGGGTCCATCGCAGCAAGCAGTTTGGTGGGCGATTTGGGACGGACATACAGAAAGACCTTATCAAACGACGCGTCGGTGAAGGCCGGAATTCTCTGCCCTCTTCCTGGGGGAACACGGACGCTGGTGCAAGCTGTCGGGCCCCCTGTCCATCTGTCTGAGCGTGGCCAGGCCTGCTGGCGGTTTGCTGCCAGGGCTCAGAGAGAGAAGGGTTCTCTCCTCACCTGCTCCGAGAGCCTTTCCCCGGCCAAGCAGACTCGATTGACCCCGGAGCCCTCCACCCACACCCAGAACCAGCAACGAAGCAGCTTAACCTCAGGTTAACACCTTAACATCAGGTGTGGAATGATGGGATTAAGCTTGCTCTTGTACGGAAGAGTAACAATTGCATCCACGAGAAGAAATGCAGAAGAGCAAAGGCAGCTTTGCTTTCCAGTTTCAGGGGCGCAACCACCAGCAGCCCAGGGCTGGAACGCTGAACCCGATCAGCTTGGCCTGGTGAAGGGCGTCACCCAGCATCCTGCTGGATGGGAAGAGAGAGGAAGAGGCGTGGGTCCCCCAGAGGAAGAAAGGGGGTGGCAGGGAAAGGGGAGAGAAACAGGGTAGCCAGAGGGGGCATTAGGGGATGCCCCACTGAGGGCGCAGTTCCGTATTTTGCATTTGGTGCTCCGAGCTGCTGGAAAGCCATCTGTCCTGCCATGTCCGGACACCTGCTAAAATAGGTACGGGGGCTCTGATGCACCTGCTTCCCCTGGATGAGCCTGCTTTTTGCCCAGGTGCGGTCCTCTTCCCGCTTCCCCTCCCTGAAGACATCACAGAGGCTTGCAAGCACACAGAAATTAGCATCTGCGGATCTGTCTGTCTGTCTGTCTGTCTGTCTGTCTAAGGTTTTTGTATCCCGCCCTTTGCAGCGTCTCGGGGCTGCCACTCACGTGCGAGCTGTTCATCCGGTATCATTTCCATACCTAGCTCCGCTGCTGGGGGCAGTGGGGGGCAGGCGGAGAGAGCGTTTGGCCGCTGGCTGCAGCCTTGCTCAGAAACCCACACGCCCAGCCCGCCTCTGCAAGAATGTGTCCCCTGTTCTTGCTCAATCCTGTTTTGTGCGATTGTTGAGCAAGGCAAGCGTGGAACGAACTGTGCAAGGACGTGAGTAAGCCATAGGGGAGTATCTGCCTGCCCATCTGGCTGCGCAACCCCCTCCCTGCACGGGAACCGTCTCACTGCCACCCCGTCACCCACCCGCGAGGCGGCTAATGCACGCTTTTGCTTTCATAAGGGAGATCCCGGGGGAAGATGCAGCTTGCAGCCTTTGGCCCTGATGCAACGCTTGGCTCCGTGGCAGCAGCCTTGCCCAAGCAACCCGCCACCAATTCGAAGTTGTGCAAGACAACCGAAGGCTCTCTCGAGGGGATGCTTTGGGAAAAACTCGAAACACCCCGCCTTCGGGCCAGTGCCTCAACAAGTTCAGATGCCGCATGAACAAAGAGACCGTTCAAAAGAATCAGGCCTCAAACAAGCAGACGGGTGTTGCTTTTTGGGTTGGCATGCACAACCGTCGAAACCACCTCCAAAAATCACACTTCCTCAGTGCCTGGACATCGGGCTGATGTCAAGCTCACGGGGAGAAAACCATGACGAATGTTGAAGAGTCAGAGAGGCGGCTTCCGGGCAGCTCCACTGATCTCCAGGAAGCTCAGAAGATGGGAATTTGGGTTAGGTGTCGTCAGCCTAGCAGGGCATCACCAGAGGAAAGACCAGCCAAACTTCCTTGATCCTGCCAGATGTTGCCTTATTTTAACTCAAAATCATCCATCAGGAGTAGACAGGAAAAGACCGCTTTTGAAGTGCAGCAATTAACTTTCTGGGAAATGGGAAGCGATACTCAAAAAGTGTTAATTGCAGCTACGTTAAGTTCCTGACAACGACTGAGTTCACACAGTAAAACAACCCACAGCTGGCAAACTATGGGCTGTTTGTGAGCACACAGAAGTGGCAAGAGAGCTAGCTCACACGAGCGCACTCATTTCCGTTTCGCAAAAAATCCAGGAATGCCCCATTGTTGGGACATGCAGCTTGGCACTTGGGTTTAGGGTCAAACGACCCATAGTTTTAAGCACTGCTTTGCCGTCGAGTATCCCAGGGCCTTCCCAGGGCTATTTACAAGCCGCATGGGAACAATCAGCACCCTATAATAAGCAGTTCATTTACTCCTATAAGGACACAACTGAGTATGGGCTGTGTAACTCATACTTAGCAATTATGTGCAAACCAGGTCACCTACGTCTACCTAGTTTTGTTCCAAAGGGTGCTCTCCCAACCCTGCACAACGCTCCTACTCCTTCGTTCCTTTTCTTCCCGGCATGCTCACTGCCCAAAAACAGAGATTTGCTAAGTAAAGGAAAACCAGAAAACCTTCATTGATGCAACATGTTTGAAGAAACCTGGGACATACTAAGATGCGTCAAAGTAACAAATCCGTTAAATTTCCTAGGTACAGTTAACTCCCTATTGCCATAATTGGAGACAAGCTGAGCATTCTAAGTTGCATTAGTTTCTAAATCCTAATACAATGCCGCACGATTTTAATGGGTCATAACGATAGCCTAATCTCATTATACAGTGCCGCCTATGGGCACGGGCAATTTCTGCCTTGTGTTCTTGTTGCTGTTGTTCCCTGCATATTGTTGTTTATTGTGTATTATTATGCTTTAATCTGGTAACACATTCTCTCTTATGCACATGCAGGAACCGGTAAGGGAACGGGAGAAAGGGCCAGAGCACCCCGCTTTGCAACTGCTAGGATTAAATAACAGTGGGAGGCAGAACTGGAGAGAGGTCAGGCTCCACTAAAGGAGTCCAGGGCAGTGGACAGAACAAGCAAGCGCACTGCCCATTTCCAAAGGCACATGCAAAGACCTCCCGCCCGAAGACGGAGTCCCAGATGGGGCCTTTGGCACAAGGAGCTGCATTTTCTCAGCCTGGCTCAAAAACGGACCCACACGGAAAGGAGGAGGAGGAGGCAGCAACGACGACAGAGACCCCCGAGGATCACAGCTCCCCGGCCACGTGGCACAAGAGATCACGGCACACGGCACCCCTGCGCCTGCCTGTCCAAAGCTCCAAACGCCACCTGGAAAGCTGGGCTTGCCTTCGGCCCATTCGGCTGCGCCCTCAGCGGCCCCCCAAGAAGCGGAAGCTGACCGGGGGGGCCCTGGCGTTGGCACCCTTCGTGGGGAGGCGGGGGAGACGGAGCCACGGGCTGGATGTGGGAGAACTTGCTTCGGCTTATCACAGAGGCCGCCTTGCTCCATATGCATAATGAGGAATGCGTGGCAGCTGCCGCTCTTCCGCCACCCTGTATGGATCCCAGCTTTGGGCACGGCAGGCTTGCCCGGACAATGCAGCTTTTCCAGGGGGAAGGGCATAAGTTCTCCTTACACAAAGGCTGGCAGGGAAAACCTCAGCCTGAGAGATCAGCACGTCCTCTTAAGCATCACTTTCGATCTCTCGGAAGTCAGCGTGCAATCCCGGCCGGCTTGGGAACGCCTGTGAAGTTCCATGGACTCACTCCTAGGTACGTGGGCACCCAGCTCCCATCCTGCAATTACCGGGACTCGCACGGGTCATGTGCCTCGCTTTTCTCTCCCGCCCCCAAACCTCCTGCTTGCATCTTGCAAGGAGGCTGTCCTACACCCGAAGCTGACACAGCCAGCCCAGCCAGCCAGCCAGAGGGAATCACAGCTCCCAATGACATGCCAGGAGAGGCCCGTACTTTGGCGGGAGGCCCACGCGCCCCTCACTTCCCAGCATCCTCCGCCTGCGGCAGCTGCCTCACTTTGCCCACTGTAAACTGCAATTGGAGCAGCCGCTTTAATTATAAACGCTGCGTAGGGCTGCCTGTGATTACCACATTCAGAGGCTGAGTCTCAAGCCTCTAGACCTCAGCAAGGGGCCAAAACCGCCTGTGAGCGGCACCCTACCGTGTCTGAGGTCAGGCCACAGGTCTCAGGGGTTGGAATGCTCTTGCCTGCAAGGAGGTTCCCTGTGTGGAGAACAGCTGCACATCAGGAAATGGGCTCTACTCCAGCCCCTTCCTTGACATTTCAACAGCTGACTTCCCCACACAATGGAACATTCCGTTCTGTGGCAGGCCTCCCCCATGTGAAGTCTGAAGTAGTATGGCCCAGAAACTAGTTTTTCCGTGACTGAGAAACCGAGAAACCGCGAGCGAGGGATGCCAGGGTCGTCTCTGCTGAGTGTCAGGCAGGGAAAGCTGGGTGACCTCCTTTCTTTTCTCCTGGGGATGCACAATTTTGAGGAGAAAAACAGCAGCAACAGCGGATGTTAAAAGTCCCTGCTGTTAGTCTGCTCCTGATTCCAGTCTCCAAGGCTTGCTTTGCAGATTTAAAAAATACAACGGGCTGAGAGCAGTCTGTGCATTTATCACGGCCGAGAATGTCAATTTGTACCAAACCCCTCTCTCAAAAAAATGCATTTTATTGAGAGCTGCACCGGGGTCTGTCTCTGGGGTGGAAAGGTGGAATACAGAGAGGTCCGCCTGGCGCCATCGTTATTTGTGGCTTTGGGGCGGCACAGAAATGTTTTAAATAAATAAATAAATAAATACAAATGAAATGAATACCATGGCTGGAAATGTCACATCTAACAGTGCACTGCTTTGCACGGCTACTCAGAAGTAAGCACCACGGAGTGCTGTGGGGTTTACACCAGGGAAGGATGGGTAAAGTTGTGCCTTTTCGGGCAGAATTTATGCATATGGGGACAAAAATTAATCCTACAACTCCCGGTCAAGCTGGGCCTGGATGATACATAAAGCGTTCGGTGCTTTGCATTCGAGGCTTCGCCCAGCGCCTTCCAGATGTGCGATAGCCACTCTGGCTTGGAACGCTGGGAGTTGCGCTCCACACACAGCTGGCGAATACAGGGGGGGGGTCACCTTGCATGCTCCCGACCCCGCATCGCAGCCCTTTTCGGGAAGGCGTCAGGCGGAACCCCCCTCCAGCCAGAAAGCTCAGCGGGAGTCCTTAGCCAGGGCTCCCCCCTCCAAGCAGCCTACCTCACAGGGCTGGCCTGCGTGTCGTGCAGCGGGACCACCTCCATTCCCACCGCCGGGCAGAAGTACAAGTCGGGGGACGTCAGCCGCCCCCCGACGCCTCCACGGCCGCCCAGTCCCCTTCCCCAGCGCGACTGGTCCCCGTGCGGGGAAAACAGCCGGCAGGAAGCATCCCAGCCCAGCCTCCCTTGGCCGGGCGCCTGCCGCTCCCGCGAGCGCCCCCCCCCCGCGCCCGGCCAGGGGGCGGACTAAAGCCGTGACCCCCGCGCAGCGTGGGGCCCTGAGCGTGGGGGCGAGACGTGGCTCCGGGAATCCCCGGCCCCGGGAGGGCCGCCCCCACCGCCCACCCCTC